CTTAGATCCCCTTTGCTGAGGCATAAAACCTCTTTGGTTTTGTTTTGCGACGGAGTTATCATACTCTTCGCTTGTCTGTGACCTGGAAGTTCTTTCCAGCGTAAGGCTATCTTTGAAGCCTCCCAGTTGTTGATTATTTGTTTTAGGTGGCTTTTTTGTAGTCCACATCCAGGTTGGGGTCCAATGAAGGGCGTGTTTGCTGCCTCTTTGGCCAGCTTGTCGGCCTTCTCATTGCCCTCAATGTTGCTGTGACCTGGAACCCACCATAGGGTAACATCATTGCCCCTAGCGAGTTCTCTCAGGTTGTTGGTGCACTCTCTGATCAGTGCGGAGCCACACGTGTAGGCCTGAATTGCCTTTAAGGCGGCCCGACTGTCTGTGAAAATGTTTATGGATGCACCTTTTTGTCCCTTCTGTAGGTTCAAAGCGGTGCAGAAGTTTATAGCAAGAACTTCTGCTTGGAAAATTGTTAAGTCCGAGCTGAGGGGCAATTTGATGTGGCTATTTGGTCCACTGATGCCCATGACTACTCCAGATCTTACTGTCTTTGAAGCATCGGTGTACCAGGCTAGGACTCCTCTTTTTAGTGAGCTGCGAACCCTACCTGATGGACGGGTTATATTCATTACTTCAGGGTCGGCATCCGCATGGGCGCAGACTTTTAAGGAAGGAAAATGCTCAGTAACAGTAAAGAATGCTTACTTGCGACATGGTTTTCGTTCTGTTGATGTTGCCTCAATTCCTGCAATTGGTTGTATTGGTTCCCACACACAGTGCAGACATGATTTTGAGTTTGTTCTTTATCCAAATTTTTGTCATTACCTAAGATATAAAGAGATATTTTAGGTTTACATTTAAATTGTTTCCAAAACAGATTATTACCTAATGTTTCCGTATTTTCCGATGTATTTATTATCAATTTGTTGACTTCTACGTTTTCTTCATCAATCTCCTTCATAGAATGGTCAACACTTGAATCCAAGCTATTTTTGGATGATGAAGAGTTATTTAACTTAGGATCCGTTTCTGAAAAATGATTATATTGGTTACAAAAACTCATAATTGGTACGTTTATTACCTAAATGAATAGAATATAGTATTTGAGGGGTAAAAATTGTTGGTTCACCCTCATCGATTTCCAGCTTTGCATCTACAACGCTGTTTGAGGAGGTATCACTTAAATCTTGATTCCAGAAATCATTGCATACCGATAGAGGTCTGTTGTTAATTAAAAGCATTTGATTCATATCTGTAAAATAGCACCAAAGAAAGTGTCTTAATATATAAAATTAAATAAATAAGGGGGTTAAATAAGGTATAAATAAATAATAAAACGAAAACTATACAAGTACAACCTTTATTTGTATTGTTTGTTTTAAAAAATTATATAGAACAAAGATTAATGGTCATTAAAAAGCATTTATTTACATTTAAATTCTTTTATTAAACACAAGAAAAAATGAGGATGAAAGAAATAAGTATGCACAGTGTCAAAGATGTAAATTTTATTATAACAAGCTTCTTTAAGTGTACGTAATAACTTTGTTAAGCTGTGGGCATCATAAGAAATCAGAAAAAGTCAAAACATATCAGATACATTTTTATATGATTTCGTTTTCTAGTAAAGTATTTACCATTTCTCCTAAAACACACATGTATTATAAATGTAAAGATACCAATATTAAAAGGTACACAAAACTGCACCACTCAAGATACCACCAAGTCTAACAGTAGACCAGAAATTTTTTCTTTCTACTTAGTTCCTGGTAAAGTCAAAAAGTGACTTAAGGCTCCTCACCCACTTCCTGACTGGACACTGCAGGTCATGTAAGCATGTGTTCTACATGAAGCTTTATAAAGGGTGTGAAATGGAAGATGAGACAGTAAGTCATATTGTTCTGTTCTATATTAATGTTCATTAAAACCTTGGGCTGGTTTTCTAACCCCTGAATGAACTCTAAATTGTGGAGATGTACAAAGGAACTGCTATGTAGGAATTCATCCTCACATGAAACTACATACATACATACAACTTTGTTAAGCTATGGGCACCATATTAACCATATAGCAACAAGAAATCAGATAAAGTCAAAAGATATGAGATACATTGTTATATGATTTCATCTGTTAGTAAAGTATTTACCATTTCTCCTAAAACACCTTAAATGTAAACATATCGATATTCATTCACAACTTGTAGCATAATAATAACGCGTTACAAAACTGCAACACTCAATGCACCAATAAAGTTATCAAAAATCGATTCTTAACCCCTTGACATACAAATAAAGTACTAAATATGTTCATAATAACATTGTATGTCAAGGAATTAAATCCGAACAATAATAAACAATTATTGAGGTTAGGTTAAGATTTATGAACAATGAAGTTAGGTACAATCAAAAGTAAACATGATAAAATGATTCTTTTTTTATAAACTAAAAACTTTTTTATGTAATTTAGTCTTATTATTTTCAATTTTAATTAATATTTCACAAGGCTAAATTGTGTTTTATGTGAACTGTTCGTTTATAAAATTGTATTTAGTAAACTGTATTACCGGCATTTTTATTTTAGCTTAGATATATGTTATAACTGTGGTTCCAACCGTGCAAACTTGACCAGTCCATGCACGAATACAAAATCGTCAACGGTGTTGAAACAGACTGAAAGTTGTAAGCACAATTAGTAGTCAAACCTAACTCCATATGAACGCTGTTTTTATGGACGTATTCCCGCGCAAATGCCTTGCTGTGACGTCATTGGAAAAATTGACATTTCTATATTTTTATTTATACAGTGTACTTAAGAAGCAATATATAAAAACATTAAAAAAAAGATGAAATAAAATTAAAAAAATATTAAAATATAAAGCGAAATATTAAGGATTATAATTTTATTATTGTCAGGTTAACCAACTTGACTCGGTTACCATGGTGATTAAGATCCAAATATTGCAGGTGCTTGTCAAAATTGAAATTAAATTTAAGTTTTTTTTAAGGAAAAAGTCTTATTTAATTGGTTTAAAAGGCTGTATTTAACTCAAAATTGGTTTATCTAGTGTATTATAATCAAGGTAAGTGGATTAAATCAAAAATTTTTTTAATTAGGTTAGATTTTAAGGTTACCCAACTTGACTCGGTTACCATGGTGATTAAAATCCAAATATTGCAGTTGCTTGTCAAAATTGACATTGAATTTAAGTTTTTTTAATGAAAAACACATAATTAATTGGATTTAAAAGTTGTATTTAATTCTAAATGGGTGAAATTATAAGCAAAGTAAGTGGATTAAAAAAAAAAAAATTTTAGATCGATTAAAATGTACAAGAATTTAGGGTTAAATAACAATTAAAACTAAAACTAACACTAGACCTAGAAAGTTTTAGGTTTAGCCGGGCGTCTTAGACAAGAACTTAGAATAGTCTGAAGACTGTGTTAGTTCTAGTTTAGTATTAAACTAGAACAATCACTAGAACAAACACAACACCTAGAACTAGAAACAGCCGGGTTTAGTCGTGAAAAAAACTTTCAGTTGTTTCAATCTTCATAAAATAACCTTTAAAGTGAGTTCAAACTTGACGCATTTATCTCAAAAAACCAAAAAGTTCGAACTTTCAACTTTTACTTTTGACATATTTGTCAGTTCATAAAAATCATTTAAAACGCGTCCAAACTCGACATATCTAACTTCAATATTAATGGAAATACAATCACTTCCGGTTTGAAACGTCAACGTCAATTTTGACATATTTGTCATCTTCATTAAAAAAACCTTTAAAATGAGTCCAAAGATGACGCACTTATCTCAAAAAACAAAAAAGTTAGAATGAAAAACATTAAACCCGAAGTTAGCAACAATGAAGATAGCAATTTAATTCTTAAATATTAATACCAACCTTAATTTTTAATTTTTTTTATTGTATTTTTGTTTTTGTGATATATTTTAAGACAATTTATAAAAATTAAGAATTTGTCAAAATGACATTGACATTTCAAACCGGAAGTTGCTTATATCTCGACTAATATTGGAATTAAACGTATCATGTTTGGGCTCATTTTAAAGGATTTTTCACGACAATTACAAATATGTCAAAATTGACGTTGACATTTGTAACCGAAAGTTGACCATAACTTCATTAATATTGAAGATACTCATTTTAAAGGATTTTTACCTTAAAGGACCTTGCAATTTACGATTTCAAACTAAATCCATTTAATTAATTCATTTTAAAAATCCAGTATTGTAATAAAAAGAATTCACCCATTTTCTTGGAAAATCCCTAAAATCACAAATTGCAAATTGGTCTTTCAACATTTTTGAGAATGTATGCATTTCTGTCATTGAACTTAAGTTATCTTCAAATTATTATCTTTCTCAATGCCTTTCAAGACGTGGATATTGAAAGATAGATATTAAAGAAAATAGCACCTATTTAGCGACGAATCTGGACAAGTTATATTCAACCAAGCTGTCCGTAATGAAATGCAAAAAAAACAGTCATAATCATTGATCACCCAAATAAGCTTTTAGCATTAAACGATGCAGATTGAAATTTAATTGGGTATAATTAAAAAAGAGGAAGTTAATCAAGCTTTAAGAGAGATAATACCACCTAAAGATAATTCAATACAGAAACTAACATAAACATCATCATCAGCTTGAAAACCCATTATGGATCCTGGTCTGATCCAAATACTCTTCCATTCGGAGGGGGATCGAGGAGGTGAGAGAATTCACATATCTGAGGTTTAGGTTCAGGGAGGATAGCGAGGACGCGGCGCATGTGAGGAAGATGGCTAAAAGGGCAAATAAGGTGATGGGGCAAGTCTGGGGATGGGATGAGAGAGTATTTGGAAGGGACATCAGAAAGAGAAAGATTATGTTTGATGAGGAGTGCAACGATGTACGGGGCGTAAGTTGGGTGATGGAAGAGGAAGGATATTCTGGAGGACGTACAGAATCGGTACTGGAGGTGGGTTCTGGGTCTGATAAGGGAAACACTATTGTGAGGGAGGAAGTGAAGGTAGATAAAATAAGGGTAGTAAATGTATAGATAACATGCACATTTACTTACAAAATAAAATAGTTTCTATTATTAATTTATATTAATACGAAATCAATGAAAGAATTAATGACAACAAATTTGTAATAGCATACGAAAAATAGTATATAACATATACTAATATTATAATCATCAGTTAACATTGAACTATAAAAATAGATAATTTATATTTAACATGCATTACTCTGAATTGTCACAAGACATTCAAATTATTATATTATTATCTCTAAAGCTGATTTTTGGTACGAACTGAAGTTGCAGCCTTCAATGTCGCAAAAAACCGTCGTTGTTTTTCGCATCCCATTATTTCGTGCGAGTTTAAACTGGACATGTGTTTAAACTTACGGTTACATTTGTCGCAATTTAATTTACGTTTTTTATGTCTATAGGATCTTTTCTTTACTTTTCCTTTTTTACCTTTTGTATCCGCCTAAAATTAATAAATATAATTTTTACTATACTAACATGTACTGAATTATACTGAACCTGATTGTGACTTCTCCTGACATGCTGGGCAATCACATATTTGCTTGAACATTCAAGTGATTTGTCACATAATTTACAATAAATTTGGCTGTAATTGACAACGGATAAATAGCTGTTGTATTCCTTTATCCATGATACCATTTTCTGATAATGAATTTCCTTGCTAGACGCTAAAAATAATTCAAAATTTTAAGAGGAAAAGAAAGACCAGAATAAATATCACGGAAATATGATATGAACTAGTGATGGAACGGATACCGGATAGTTACCAAATATCCGGCTTTGGCCGGATATTAAAACCTATTACTTAGTACTCCATCATTCACAGGAATTAGTATCTCTTTTAGGTGTTAAACGGTGCAGATAATAATCAAGTTCAACCCCAATAGGACTTTTTCATTGAATACAACTTTATTTATATCAGATTTGTCATTAGCAACCTCATTGTAACAATCTCAATACGATATATAAAATCTCTTGTTTCAGTTTCGTCTAGTTTTCTTCTCTTCGCTTGTAATTCATCATCACATTCATTACTAACAGAGCTGTCGCTGTTATCACTTTCAATTATTAATTAAAGTAACCTCTTTTTAATGTAAAAAGCCGTTATGAAAAATCATTTTTAGTTCTTGAGAAATACATTTTTGAAATGATCGACAAGAAGAAGAAAATAATATTTATTTGGACTTATATGAGAAAATAACTATTACAAATAGGAGAAAAAAAAAATATATAAAACAAATATAAAAGTGAGTCCAAAAGGGCTGTAGACCTGAGTCTTCCTGCCCGTGACTTTGACCTCGGTTTGGATGTAGGTCTTCTCAGTTGGGCCTTATTTTTTTAAGTAGTGTGAGCCGTGTTATGGGACAGTGGGTAAGGCAGAGGGGAGTGATGATGAAATTTTTTGGTGCGTTTATGGGGAAGTTCATAATTGCTTTAAGGGCTAAGAATTGTAGACAGGAGTTTATAGGAGGAATCTTTGTAAGGTCGTATAGGAGTTCATTGGAAGGGTTGAAAAGTGGGTTGTGAGGGTGTCTAATGCGAGTGATAATTCTCAGGGCTGCTCTCTCTGCTACTTCCAGATGGTACTGTGATCCTCTCGGCGCTTCAGTCATGATTAATGAGGCATATTTGATAATAGGTCGGCATATTGAATATTTTTTTGATTTTTTGATATATTTATATTTTTTGATTTTTTGATATTTTATATTTTTTTGATATTCCTCGGCCTCTATATGAGAGTGAGCGGAAGCGGTTTTTGACTTTCATTTTTAGTTTGATGGCGTGGGCAGAGAATTTAAGGGTTCTATCCAAGGTGATGCCGAGGTAGTTGCAAATTGGTGAAGCTGTGATAGGAGAAGATTGAATCATTATTGTGGGAGGAGCAACGCGAATAGGGAGGAAAGGGATGAAGAATTGGGTTTTGGAAAGATTTATTAGGATACGAATAAGTGTCTGCAGCCTTAGGATAGATAATGGAATGTCTACGTCATGTGCGACGAGCGTAGTATCATCGGCATAACGTAGGGCGTAAGACTTCAGGTCGAAGACGTCTAGGTTGTCGTTGTAGATGTCATGGCAGTAGACGTTGCACAGTGCTGACGAGATGGGAGAGCCTTGAGGGAGACCTTGTTGAGCGGTGAAACTGTGAGAATAGTAGTTTTTCACTTTAATCAATGAGGAGCGGTCTGAAAAAAATTTTTTAGCAGGTTAAGGAGATAAGATGGGATTTTCAACATAGCTAGCTTGTACAGTAGACCTCTGTGCCATACGGAGTCGAATGCCTTCCGAACACTGCGGCGGATTGTTGCTTTTGGTAACGTGCGACTTGGAAGTTTGAGACAAGCACTGCCAAGGGATGAGATGTAGATCTACCTTGTTGGAATCCAAACTGGTATGACGGAATCCTCCTTGCAACAACATCGAGCAGCTTGTTCTTCAAGTGTACCTCGAACAGCTTCCCCATTACAGGTAGCAATGAAATAGGACGGTAGTTCGCAGGGTCGGATAGAGAATAATCGTTCTTGGGGATGCATATGATAATAGAGGTCTTCCAGTCTTGTGGGAAATGCTGGGTGTAAGGCAATAGTTGTAAATTTTTCTTATGTAAGCGTGGATATCAAGATCCAGCTTCCTTAAGATTTCCCTTGAGATGTTATCGTATCCAGGGGCTGTATTGGTTCCTCTGTTAAGTAGTGTGAAGTATTCTTCTTCCTGCATGAGAACATCTTGAGGCGTTTCGGACGAATTGATACCAATTGTCTACTGTGTTTTTATTGTGAGGGCAGAACAGGGCCTCATTGCTGAAGGAAAACACCCTCTCAAGGTATTCAGCGTGGATGTTTACGATTTTTTCCGGGCTAGAGTATGAGCAGCCATCCGTAGGGTCAGCTTTTGGTACTTCGAAAGTTTGCGGACTTCTTGCCAGTAGTTTTTACCCTGGCTTCTGTTGATTTTGTCACAGGCCTCAATGTATTTTTCGCTTCTGAATTCGTGGACTAGCTTTTGGATATTTTTATTAAGTTCGTTGAACATTCTTTTCAGAGCAGGCTCCTCATAGGATCTAAAATCGCGGTAGAGTCCTCTCTTTTCCTTAATCAAACGGAGAATAAATGGTGGCAAAGGAAAATTGTAATGTTTCTTGATGTTGGAAAGGCTCGCTTCATCCACCAAATTAAGGAAGCGTTTATTAAAGGTTGCGATAGACTCGGGTGTAATAACAGGGTTAGATCTCACATATTCGTTTATTCCTGCGTTCACTCTTTCCATATTACAAAGTTTATAGTTTTTGATCAGAGTAGGAGCTACTTTAGGTACTCGTGTGGTTGTATTAATGCCGATCACAAGACCCAGATGGTCAGAGCACAGATCAGAAATGACATTAACAGACGTGATGAGCGGTCTTATGTTGTTTGTGCAGAAGATTAAATCAGGCTTGGAGTTGGGATTATTTGCCATGACAAACGTCGAAGGTGTTGAGATGCGCAACACACATTGATTGACAATTTGTTCGAATGTTGCATTTTTCGCCGATTAAATTTTAATAATTCGTATAAAATCGATTTACTGGAATATGAGAATGAAAATTTTCCAAAATGTTAATAAAAGTGTCCTCTTTCCCACGAACTAACACGTTTTGAAAAATAACTTTTAGTTTTTGAGAAAACAATATTTGAAGTTTTGACAAAATTTTCGATGTTGCAATTTTCATCGATAACTTTCAAAATTCTATATAAAATAACAATATTAGTGTACCAACTAATGTAGGCAACAGTTAACACTAGAATACTGAATACATTTTACTGATTTTCTTCTTGCCTCATCCTATGAGACACATTACAAGGCATATTTAATACTAAGTATTAAAAAGTACTTACGAGTCAAATGGTTTTCTTTGATTCGATGCTTCCATAATGTAGTGTCGTTACTGAATCCGCCACCACACATCTCACAGGTATGACTATATTCTTCATTATCTAAAAAATCATGAATTCAAAATAAGTTGACGAAAAGAATTCCTCTTACCATTTCTTCTTGTTTGTAGAGAACGTTTTGGTTTCGACACAACGACTGGTTCTTTCTGTACAACAATGTTCATTTTCGCTACATGTTCACCGGCAGTGTTTTGTTTCAGTTCTACTTCATCAATCTTTTCGAAACAGGAAATATGATCCATTTTTGACAACGAAAGGAAACACGTTTGAAATTGCACATCTGAAAGATAGTAATTAATAAAAATAGTATCTTTCAAAGCATGCTTACTTGTGACATGGCTTTCGTTCTGTTGATGTTGCCTCAATTCCTGCAATTGGTTGTATTGGTTCCCACACACAGTGCAGACATGATTTTGAGTTTGTTCTTTATCCAAATTTTTGTCATTACCTAAGATATAAAGAGATATTTTAGGTTTACATTTAAATTGTTTCCAAAACAGATTATTACCTAATGTTTCCGTATTTTCCGATGTATTTATTATCAATTCGTTGACTTCTACGTGTTTTTCATCAATCTCCTTCGTCGAATGGTCAACACTTGAATCTGAGCTATTTTTGGGTGAAGAAGGGTTATTTAACAGAGGATCTGTTTCTGAAAAATGATTATATTGGTTACAAAAACTCATAATTGGTATGTTTATTACCTAAATGAATAGAATATAGTATTTGAGGGGTAAAAATTGTTGGTTCACCCAAATCGATTTCCAGCTTTGCATCTACAATGCTGTTTGTGGTGGTATCGCATTTTAAATCTTGATTCCAGAAATCATTGCATTCTGATAGAGGTCTGTTGTTAATTAAAAGCGTTTGATTCATATCTGTAATATAGCACCAAAGGGAGTGTGTTAATATGTAAAATTAAATAAATAAGGGGGATAAATAATGTATAAATAAATAATAAAGCGAAAACTATACAAGTACTGGTCAGACATGTGTTAATGTCAATTTTATTGTGTTATACGTTTTATTTCGTATTTTCTGGTGATATTTATAATCTATTATACAAGAAAAATAATTTTATATCTTAACATATGCAAATTTTATCAAATATTTTTCCAATCGACGTAATCTTCTGAGGATGGCTCTTTAATATGAGTCAAAACTGGTAGAGATTATAATAAAAATATTATCAATAAGTTCAAATGATTTTATTTTTATTTAAACATTAATAATTAAGTGATAACATTAACTCATAACTTTATTTGTATTGTTTGTTATAAAAAATTATTTAGAACTAAGACATATATGGTCATTAAAAGACATTTATTTAGATTTAAATTCTTTTATTAAATACAAGAAAAATGAGGATGAAAGAAATAAGTATGCAGAGTGTTGAAAATGCAAATTTTATTATAACAAGCTTCTAGAAGTGTAAAAAAATTTGTACATAATAACTTTGTTAAGCTGTGAGCACCATAAGAAATTAGAGAAAGTCAAAACACATCAGATACATTTTTATATGATTTCATTTTCTAGTAAAGTATTTACCATTTCTCCTAAAACACATAAATATATTATAAATGTAAACATACTGATATTTATTCATAAATTGTAGCATAATAATAACAACACATTATAAAATTCAAGATACCAACATGTCTAATAGTGACCTAAAGGGTAGACCAAGAACTTTTTAGGTAGACCAAGAATTTTCTCAAAAATTGAGACAAAATTGACTTGAGGCTCCTCCCCCACATCCTGACCGGACACTGCAGGTTATGTAAGCACATGTTCTACATGAAGCTGGCAAACACATCTCTTTGTAGAGGGTGTGAAATAGAAGACAAGGTGGTAAGTCATATTGTTTGTGACTGTCCCAACCTTGCATGCTTTAAGGAATCCATTTTTAGTATACCATGGCCCCAAAATTTCGGACATAAACTGTAAATTGTGGGCATGTACAGAGGGCTCACTGGGGCCTAAGTGCTTTGTAGTAATTTACTTCCACATGAAACTACAGACATACATACAACTTTGTTAAGCTACATTTTTATATTATACTTTCTACTCTTTCTAGTAAAGTATTTACCATTTCTCCTAAAACACCTTAAATGTAAACATACCGATATTTATTTACAAATTGCAGCATAATAATAGCAACAGGTTACAAAACAGCAACACTCAAGATATAATATAAGGTTATCAAAAACTGATTCTTAACATATCTAAATATGTCCATAATAACTAATAAATAACACATGAAATGTATGACATCTCCCAGACGTTATTGTATGTCAAGGGGTTAAATTTAAACCGAATCGGAACGTTTAATAAACAATTTATTGAGGTTAGGTTAAGATTTATGCATAATGAAGTTAGGCACAATCATAATAAAATTCATTTTTAATAAAATTATAAACTAAAAAAATCTTTTACACAATTTAGTCTTATTATTTTCAACTTTAATTAATATTTCACAAAATTAAATTGTATTTTATGTGAACTGTTCGTTTATATTGAAAAATATTTACAAAAACGTATTTAGTAAACTGTATTACCGGCATTATTATTATAAGCTTTGTTCCACAGATATAAGTTATATCGGTGGTTCCAACGGTGCAAATTTGACCAGTTCATGATTTTTTTCTGAGCATGTTCATCCATGCACGAAAACAAAGTCGTAAACGGTGTTGAAGAAAGTTGTAAGAACGGTTAGTAGGCAAAACAATCCGGAAGATGGCGCTTTAAGCACAATTTACGATTTCAAACGAAATCCATTTAATTAATTTATTTGAAAAATCCAGCCTTGTAATAAAAAAAATTCACCCATTTTCGTAAAAAATGCTTTAAACCACAAATTGAAAACTGGTCTCCGCATATTTTTGAGATTGTATGCATTTCTGTCATTGTTTTTCTGGTTTTGATTCAATGGTTGTCCTATACACAAGAGCTTTTATAAAAGCTCTTTAAATAATAAAATAAATTTAAATACCTTTTTTTAAATACCATATATGGTATTTATTAGGGGTGGAACGGATATCCGGCAACTATCCGGTATCTGGCTTCTCTCAAAATCACTCCGTGTATAAATATCATCCGTTCCATCACGTAAAATACTACTTGTATAAATACTACTTATACATTACGTACTCTGGCGCATTTTGACAATTTTGCCGAAATTTGACGCAGTCAATCTGCAGTCAATTACCAGTCAATCCACAGAGTCAATCGTTTTCGACGTTCTTCTAGCTACAAGGGATTTGAACTTTGCTCTCTGGTGGATTTTTCCACCACCGAAATTTCCTCAACAGTTTTTGATTTGACTTAAATGTGTTGTTATAAACAATGTTTCTACAATATCACACACTCTCGCGACAAAATAGATAACAAACATATATGTACATACATATAAACAATTATTAAAAACAAAAAAGCGAGACTAATAAAAAAAGTCTTTTGCACAGTTTCTTCACAGGTACAAAAATAGAATATTGTGCTTTAATCTACGGTTCAAAATGATACAAAAATTGACAGATGAGGTTATTTTCGAAAAAATATCAAAAAAATTCCCCTAGCTTATTCCTGGCTGTTAAGAGATGGTTTATACTTTAAATTAAAGCTAAAACATTCTATTTTATGATAAACTAAAAAAGCTATGGGGTTTTATAATGAAAATTGCTAGAAAAATATTCGATATAGAAAAACTGATAGATGAGGTTATTTTGGCAAAAAAACGAAAACTTCAAAAAATTCCCCTAGGTTTATTTTTGGGTGTGAAGAGATGATTCATACTTTAAATTAAAGCTACAATGTTCTATTTTATGATAAACTATAAAAGCTATAAGGTTTTATAATGAAAATTTGCTAGAAAAAGATTCGATATAGAAAAACTGACAAATGTGGTTATTTTCGCAAAAAAATCAAAAACTTCAATAAATCCTCCTGGTTTTATTTCTGGGCGTTAAGAGATGATTTATACCTGACATTAAAGCTGAAAGGTTCTATTTTATGATAAACTATAAAAACTATAGGGTTTTATAATGAAAATTGCTAGAAAAATATTCGATATAGAAAAACTGACAGATGAGGTTATGTTGGCAAAAAAATCAAAAACTTCAAAAAAATTCCCCTAGCTTTATTCCTGGGTGTTAAGAGGTGATTTATACTTTAAATTAAAGCTAAAACATTCTATTTTATGAAAAACTATAAAAACTATAGGGTTTTATAATGAAAATTGCTAGAAAAATATTCGATGTAGAAAAACTGACAGATGAGGTAACTTTCCAAAAAAAATCAAAAACTTCAAAAAGATCCCCTAGGTTTATTCTTGGGTGTTAAAAGATGGTTTATACTTTAAATTAAAGCTAAAACATTCTATTTTATGATAAGCTACAAGGTTTTATTATGAAAATTGCTAGAAAAAGATTCGATATAGAAAAATTGACAGATGAGGTTATTTTCGCAAAAAAATCAAATGCTTCAATAAATTCTACTGGCTTTATTTCTGGGTGTTAAGAGATGATTTATACTTTAAATTAAAGCTAAAACATTCTGGTTTTATAAAAACTATAAGCTATAGGGCAGTGTTGTCCACTAATTTTTGAACAAGATCGACTTTTTATATAAGTAAATGTCTTACCAAGATCGACCGAACGGTTTAAAGTAACCTTCCTTTTTTTTGCTCTGAGGCCCAGATATAGATATTTCAGATTCATGGTTTTTTTGGCAATCGACGTTATGGTCACCACTGATTTAGAGCTTATAAATAAAAAATGGTAATACTTGAATTCAATCTTTTTATGGATCTAGTCTTTATGGTCCATTACTAAAGTTTTATGTATAAAAATTATTTCCCCATTGCCTTTAGTTTTTGAGTTATAATTGAGTTAATTTTCGAAAATCAACAATTTTGATGTTTAATCGATTTAGAGCTTATAAATAAAAAATGGTAATAATTGGGTTCAATCTTTTTATGGATCTAGTCTTTATGGTCCATTACTAAGGTTTTATGTATAAAAAGTTTTTCTCCATCGCTTTTAGTTTTTGAGTTATGATTGAGTTAATTTTCGAAAATCAACAATTTTGATGTTTAATCGATTTAGAGCTTATAAATAAAAAATGGTAATAATTGGGTTCAATCTTTTTATGGATCTAGTCTTTATGGTCCATTACTAAGGTTTTATGTATAAAAAGTTTTTCTCCATCGCTTTTAGTTTTTGAGTTATGATTGAGTTAATTTTCGAAAATCAACAATTTTGATGTTTAATCGATTTAGAGCTTATAAATAAAAAATGGTAATAATTGGGTTCAATCTTTTTATGGATCTAGTCTTTATGGTCCATTACTAAGGTTTTATGTATAAAAAGTTTTTCTCCATCGCTTTTAGTTTTTGAGTTATGATTGAGTTAATTTTCGAAAATCAACAATTTTGATGTTTAATCGATTTAGAGCTTATAAATAAAAAATGGTAATAATTGGGTTCAATCTTTTTATGGATCTAGTCTTTATGGTCCATTACTAAGGTTTTATGTATAAAAAGTTTTTCTCCATCGCTTTTAGTTTTTGAGTTATGATTGAGTTAATTTTCGAAAATCAACAATTTTGATGTTTAATCGATTTAGAGCTTATAAATAAAAAATGGTAATAATTGGGTTCAATCTTTTTATGGATCTAGTCTTTATGGTCCATTACTAAGGTTTTATGTATAAAAAGTATTTCTCCATCGCTTTTAGTTTTTGAGTTATGATTGAGTTAATTTTCGAAAATCAGCAATTTTGACGTTTAATTGATTTAGAGCAGTAGTGTCCACTAATTTTTGATCAAAATCGACTTTTTATATAAATGTCTTGCCAAGATCGACCGAAAAATCGACCGGTTTAAAGTAACCTTCCTTTTTTTTGCTCTGAGGCTCAGATATTAGATATTTCAGATTCATGATTTTCTTGGCGATCGACTCAAAACTGCTTTGCGATCGACCAATCGACGTTATGAACACCACTGCTATAGGGTTTTATAATGAAAATTCCTAGAAAAATATTCGATATAGAAAAACCAAAGAAATTGTATATAATTTCTTTGAGAAAACTGACAAATGAGGTTATTCTCCTGGCTTTATTTCTGGGTGTTAAGAGATGATTTATACCTTACAGTAAAGCTGAAAGATTCTATTTTATGATAAACTATAAAAGAATAGGGTTTTATAATGAAAATTGCATAAAAAAATGATCCGTAAATCTGTATGATTTCTCCCTTACTTTAATTTAGTCCGGAATTTCTTCTTTCGAAGAATCTTTTACCCATAAAATGAAGTACTTTGAAATTGCGACTATGAAATTTTATCAGTTAAAGCATTACAGAATCGATTTAAACTAAGAGATTTGATTAATAACTGATAAATTTTGAAATATTAGCTGTAGAAATAAAGTGGTCCAAGGTACACCTCATTCCCCTAATGTTATAACCACATGATATATTATGTAAAAATATGATTTTTTAATGTAAGACAAAGGTAGTAAAGATGTGAGATGATATAATAATCATAAAATAAAACATGGAAGTACATAATAATATCATATATTATATTTTCCATTTAATTACAAATAAACAATTTGTTGCTCAGTGGCTAATGGGTACATACTCGTTTTGTTATAACATTATCAAGACGTTATTATCATTAATATTAATAATAAAAGAATCTTAGGCACATTCATGTAAATACTACCTCAGTGTGAGTGTAGGAAGTATTTTCTTTTAGTAGTCGTATTTTATAAAATTAGGCTACTTAATAATAAGTATGGTAATACCTTCTCTATCTACGCATTAATCAACAAATAAATCCCGGTAATAAGTATTGCACTGCTTTTTTTTTTTTTTTAATTAACGATCACCTCATCCTCCTTTATTTGTTCATAGAAACATTGCTGAAACACACTTTTCATTATTCCTTTGATATCATTTTTTTTGCTTACTATTCAAGTTTTTGTTTATCATGGCACCGAATTTGATTTGATTTAAATGTGTCGTTATAAACAATGTTTCTACAATATCACACACTCTCGAGAGAAAATAGATAACAAACATATACATATAAAAAATTATTAAAAACAAAAAAGCGAGACTAATAAAAAAAAATCTTTTGCACAGTTTCTTCACAGGTACAAAAATAAAATACTTATATCCTGACTGTAAAAACGCTTAATTTGGTTTTTTCGTTTGTCACGTTAACTACATATTTACATTTTACAATAATAATAATCAATATAATAAATTTAATAATGAAAAAAAAACAACTATTAAAGCCGAATCTTCAAAAAAATAATAATTAGGTAAATTAATAAATGTAAAAATAAACAAATTAATTACATAATAACAAAATAACAATATTATCTATAAAAATCAAATAAAAAAAAAAAAAAAATAGAAAATTTTGTTGTTATCTCCAACAAATTAATAATACATGTTTCAGCTATTTGGCGGATGATGTTGGTACTGTATTTGATGGTGCGAGTTATTACTGTACTCCATCATGTGACTTTGAGCATCCAAGTTTGATTGACTATCCGAATTTCCATCTATGCATTCAGCTTCGTATTTAATCCCCCTTTTAAATCGGCCATATAACGACGAATACGGCAGGTTATAATGAATCGCTGCTTGATTAATCGACATGTGACCCAATCTAACATAAAAAACAAACAATTATAAGAACCTCCACATCAACGACCAGTGTGAAGTTACCCATAAATTCCATCCATAAAAAAAACCTTTTTGTTTGTGTATCGATTTTAACGATAAATAGCTCATTACAAATATCTCGTAGAGTAGAACCTAACATAGTTGTGGCGGCGCAGATTTTGGGCGGGAACACCTTAAATTCCGCGAAAAATAGTAAAATATATAAAAAAGTTCTCCAACTTTAGAGTTCCATAAATTGAAAACTAATTAACATAATATCAGGTATGATTACCAAATCAGAATGCGTATATAACTTTTTTGCTAATTGTCCGATTTTAATGTGTGATATCTTTTTGGAAAGGGCTCGTCCTATAGATCATGTCATAAACGATTAAAAAGATTATAAACAATCATATCCATAAATATAACTTTTTTTGTTAATTGTCTGTAACTAACTAATAACTAACAAATATAACTAATAAATATAACTTAATGCGAGATGTGTACTAAACGCAAAGTCAAACAAAGTGCCAGAAGAGAGTTGAGCGAACGCTTACGGAACAATAGAAAAGTTGTAAAGAAAGTGATGAACCCAAAAATTAAATACAAATTAAAAAAAATTTGACAATCAGCCAGAAAAGTCATTCTTTTATTACCAACAACAACGTTACAATGCCACTTAATGCTACTAATTGTCGAAAGACTATGTAGTAGCCGTGTTCAATAAAGGAAAGTTATACTACAGCAGTTTTCAAACGCTTTTACAGCATAAAAATATCTCTGATATGTACTTAGATAATTTAACTTAATAACCAGTTAAATCATTCAATGCAGATTCATACAGAAACATCATTATTGAAACTTTATTAAAAAAACTTACAACTCATTAAAGGAAAAAATGTCTCTATTTCGCTGAAGAGGTTCATAATGAATTCAAATGCAAGCAACGCTCGTAGATGGCCCATGATACCTACAAAAATAGTTTGGACGAGCTGTGTGAATTTTGTAGACACCGACCTCAAACTGTAAAGGGACCATTACACAATCTTTTTTTTTATTGGCTTATTCGATAGTTTAGCAAAATTGAAGACTTCTAATAAATTTTTATGTTTCAAAGTGGGCCTTAATTTTCAAAAAAAAAAAAATAATGAAAATTTGAAAAAACTTTGGATACGTCACCGTCGTTTCGCACGCGGTTGGTTGAAATAAAAATCAATAAAAGGTGCATGAGTGAGATGCCACGAGAATCTTATGCGCTAGAAGAAGAGATCCGATCGATGCACGTTTTGTTGATCTTCTTGAACTTACGTGAAAACCTCGTAAACGTTACCAAAGCTGTTATAGAGGGGATTTTAAATTTTAATATTAATTATTGCAAAAATTAAACAATTTTAGGATCTGAAAATGTTACCAATTTTTTGAAAAATGGTCTTTCCATTCAATTGACGGCAACGGCCTTATACGGTACAATAAAAATGTGCCATGAATTTTTATATACAATTTAATGTAGCAACTAAATGTAACTACAATTAAATTAGATTTTAATAGTTGACTACTTATACAATTATTTTGTTTAATTGATCTCATTTTGTAAATAATTGTTGTAGCGAGTTTCAGATTCTTATTATCTTTACAGAACAATAATTATATAATATACGCGTGTGAAGTTGGCCATAGATTTCAGCCATAGATTTTAAACTGAAAAAATACGTGATCGGGGTATTCAATCATTTCTTATTTTCCGGGAAAATCGTTTTTCTTCAAACAATCGCAAAATTCGGCCTGTTCGGTGTGTCTAATCGATCTCATTTCAACGGCATCGTATTCTTGGTGCCCTTTTACTTCAGATTAAAAAAGAAAATTTTCCTAACCATTTCTTATATTCCTGGAAAATCGTTTTTCTTCAAACAATTGCAAATTTTGGCCTGTTCGGGGTTTCTAATCGATCTAATTTCAACGGCATCGTATTCCTGGTGCACTTCTACTTCAGATTCAAAAGGAAAATTTTCCTAATCATTTCTTATATTCCTGGAAAATCGTTTTTCTTCAAACAATTGGGTTAGAAATGATTAGGAAAATTTTCTATTCGAATCTGAAGCAAGAGGCCACCAGGAATACGATGCCGTTGAAATTAGATCGATTGAATACCCCGATCACGCATTTTTTTCAGTTTAAAATCTATGGCTGAAAGCTATGACCAACTTCACACGCGTATATACTATACAGTTGACTTGTCCTTAACAATAATGAATTATAGTATTTTATTAATATACTGTGTTTCTACTTATTATAAAAGTCGGACAATTACTAACAATGTTTAAAGGACTAAGAACATTATTATTTATAACGTTTTTAATCGTTTAATTACCCTTATTGTTAGAATTTTGCGCCGCCATTACTATGACATGATCTATAGGACGAACCCTTTCCAAAAAGGTATTACCATTAAAATCGGACAATTAACAAAAAAGTTATACGTATGGATGGTTTTGCTTTTCAAAGAACCGCCACATACGTCTGGAAACAGGTTCGTGTTTTGTTGCACTTTTCTAAATACCCATATGATTTAGCGACGACCAAAATTCACTTTTGTGTAGAAGACAATACAGGTGTCCCGTTAAGCGTACGGAGCAGCTGTATCTCTACAACGGTAAGGCCTAGAGGTTTGGGAAAAAAATCCTTATAAGCAATGTGACCAAGAGCAATAGCTGGAAATTATTTTGAAGTTCGTAATTCAACCGCTAGGGGGCGTAACTGCCATAGAGAAACATAAAATTCCCGCTATCTCAGAAAGTTAGACGATGAGCTATAACTTTGACAACATCATTTAATAGCTTGGATAATACCGCATCGCTTTTGTTTTGCGATATTTCTCATATCTCTCATAATAAGGGAGGAGGAGGCCAATGCGTTTTCAAATGTTTACATTTTAATATCTCCTGGACCATTCAACCGATTTGAATATTTTTTGTCTTGTTTGAAAGAGCATTTCATGCTCTTTTAAAAGATATTTTCAGTAAGAGCGCTTGGTTTAAAACAAATAAGCTAGAGGGCGTTATCTGCAGCGGTTACATATTTTCGTGATTTTTGAAAAAAAGTTAAATGGAACGGTACTATTTACTTCACAGACCGTTAATCACCATAAAATTTGCTAAATATTAGTGAAAACCGCATCTCGATATCTCCATCCATTCTCGAATTATAAAAGAAAATGTTAAAAATTCGTATATCTTAATCGGATCAAGTTACCTTAGGAAACAAATAAGAGAGAACAAAAATTTTATTATCTAGAACCTTCCTTCACACTTTATCCAAGCTTAGAACTGCTTCAAAACTACTTTTGAGGCGTGTTGAAAAGCCAACGGATCAATGAAACATCAACAATGATAATAAAACAAAATAAACCAAAACACTTAGAATAACTTAAATTTTTGGCAAAAATAACTCACTAATGTGCGAAATGCCTTCCATAAACCTCGATGCATTTATTTAATCTAGTTTCGACGAAAAAAAAGCGCTGCTTAAGTCTCGGCCCTGGACACGTTTCTACTGGTATTTAGTGTTTTGTCATATTTTCCCTGGTTATTGGTTTTTCTTGAAAAGTCAGGTCGTTTAGTCTACCCAATAGATAAAGGGGTGAAAGCAATGTGGGTTTTGCTCGAACCAAGAATGCATATTATGCAAGTTTACATCAGCTTGTGGACAGATGCTTCATGCATCCATAGCATTTGTGATAAAAGGTTTGGATTTGCCCAAATCATATTTAAAAGTCAATGGTAATAGTTCAGTCTGTTATCATAATCGGTATCTGTTAAGGCCTGATGTAAAACAACGTGGTGGAGATATTATTCTCTTGAGAACTCTTGTGGACAATTGTTTTCGGAGTTCCCAGATTATGTGGGATCACATTGCGCACCAATGTGATTTACGAATTCATAGAGATGTCTGAATGGGCTACACGTTGCCAGTTTTCCGTAATCGCTAAGTCAATCTTAAAAACACTTCTAGAGAAAAATGTCTTTCTTTGTCGTAATTGCATTGCACATTTTTGCCATGCAGTTGCATCGTATTCGAAACATTGAAAATAAATCATCATACGCTCTATCATACGCTTCTGCGTTAGTAAATGACATGTTTACAGTTACCATGGTAATGTGATTTGTTTTTCTCGATGAGGTAACTGGATCCGATTGATGGCACTCGAGTTTTTAACATTTTCTTCTATAACTCGAGAACGGGTGGCGATATCGAGATGCGGTTTTCACTAAAATTTAGCAAATTTTAAGGTGACTAAGGGTCTGTGAAGTAAATAGTATCGTTCCATTTAACTTTTCTTCAAAAATCACAAAAATATGTAATCGCTGCAGATAACGTCCTCTAGCTCATTTGTTTTAAAGCAGACGGTCTTACTGAAAATATCTTTAAAAAGAGCATAAAATGCTCTTTCAAACAACACCGAAAACATTCAAATCGGTTGAATGGTCTAGGAGATATTAAAATGTAAACATATGAAAACGCATTGGCCTCCCCCTCCCTTATTATGACAGATATGAGAAATATCGCAAAACAAAAGCGATGCGGTATTATCCAAGCTATTAAATGATGTTGTCAAAGTTATAGCTCATCGTCTAAGTTTCTGAGATAGCGGGAACTTTATGTTTCTCAATGGCAGTTACGCCCCCTAGCGGTCGAATTACGAACTTCAAAATAATTTCCAGCTATTTCTCTTGGTCACTTTGCTTATAAGGATTTTTTTCCCAAACCTCTAGGCCTTACCGTTCTAGAGATACAGCCGCTCCGTACGCTTAACGGGACACCCTGTATACGCGTTCTGATTTGGTAATCATACCTTTAGTTTTCAATTTTTGGGACACTAAAGTTAGAGAATTTTCTTATACAGTGTGTCCGTAAAGTAACGGATATAGACGATAAAATCATTATAAACGGTTTATGGAAAAATCCCTGAAACGGAGATTTTAAAATTCTTCCGCCATTTTTAAGTGAGTTATGACGTCACAAGTATTTTTTCAAATGGCAATCCCCTATTTTTATTACGGAATATGAAAGAAGATTTTTTTCTGAATCTAGTACAGTCAATATTAATATTGCTTACATAAGAAAATTTTCGAGAAAAATCACTTTAAAGTTTAACTACTTCAGATTTGTTGACATGATGAAAATAGCAGTAGCCATGAGTAACTATGCTAATCAATGATTTTAAACTACTTCCTAAGTGTCAAAAACTGATTTAGTAAGTAGTTGACCTCTTTAATACAACATATCCTAATCGTCAATTCATTAGCCAAAGTATGGTGAGGCTATCTATGACTAAATTTAAACAGCATGGCCATCTCTCGAAGCATTTCTCGAAGTCTGGCCTACTAAATATTTCAGGGGAAGTTCAACAAATCGTATTTTTGGCTGGGCAAGAATACCCTCATGTTACTGTAAGGAGTATTAGGTCTAATTTGGACATTAGTAAATCAACGGTTCATAAAATGTTAAAACCCGCAAAATATCATTCCTATAAAATAAACTTGATTCACGAGCAATGAATCGTAGTTTTTGCAACGACGACGAAGACTTTGTCACAAACATATTTTTTTTCAATTTACATTGAGTAGACAAGTAAATAGACAAAGTTATCGGTATTGCGCTACTCAAAATCCAAATTAGCCAAGAAAGTCGCACACCTAATATCCACAAAAGATTTGAGGAAACCTTAACTGGAAAGAGATGTTTAAATTTTTTCAAAGCGATGTCATTGCTTCCATCCCGATAATGTTGACACAACTCAATTCCAACGTCAGTTATTCCAACAGGATGGCGCGTCACCACACTTCAAGAAGCTTTACTAAATCAATTTTTGACACTCAAGGAATTGTTTAAAATAATTGGTTACCATAGTTACTCATGGCTATTGCTATTTTCATCATTATACAAATTTGAAGTAATTAAACTTTAAAGTAATTTTTCTCGAAAATTTTCTTATGTAAGCAATATTAATATTGCTAATATTCTATATTATTAATATTCCGTAATAAAAATGGGGGATTGCCATTTGAAAAAAATATCGATGACGTCTTAACTGGTTGAAAAATGGCGGAAAAAATTTGAAATCTACACCAAAAAATTGCAAAAAAATTTAAATCTTTAGACCCGTTTTAGGGATTTTTCCATAAACCGTTTTTTATGATTTTATCGCCTATATCCGTTACTTTACGGACACACTGTATATTTTACTGTTTTTCTCGGAATTTAAGGTGTTCCCGCCTAAAATCTGCGCCACCAAAACTATGTTAGGCTCAACTCTACGAGATCTTTCTAATGAGCTATTAATCATTAAAATCGATACACAAACAAAAAAGTTTTTTTTATGGATAGAATTTATGGGTAACTTCACACGGATACATCAACGCCACATAAATACCTGACTGCTTCTAACGCTTCGCCCATAGCGTCTTCAGACCAAGGTGTAGGATTAGACCTACTTAATTCGATCCCTTCTCTTTTACACCTTCCGTATAACGTCCCCGTTGGAATCCCAAATTCAGTCGAAGCTTTCTGCACGGACGTTTGCCCAGATCTTATGGATTCTAAAGCTTTTTCTAAATCTTCCGGGGTCCATGTTGTAGGTGCCGCATTAAACGGCGCCGCCAATCGTATCCCTTCTCTCCGTGCTATTTTGTACAAGGTGCTGCTTGGAATACCGTAAGCTTTACTGGCTTTATTCGCGGAAATCGTTCCCGTTCTTAAAGCTTCCAGTGCGGAATTTAAACTTTCCTCCGTCCAGGATTTCGTCGGACCTTCCTTTTTAGGGGTATCTATTCCCAATCGATGAGCTCGTTGCCATAACGTCGTCGATGGGATTCCGTAAGTTGCCGATGCTTTCGTTAAACTCATATTGTGGTTTCTCAACGCGTCTAAAGCTAATTCCATGTCTTCTTGAGTCCATGTTTTTGGCCCACCGCCGTGTCCCCGTCCTGAAGGATGATCCGAATGGCCGTTACTTTTTATTGAGGAAGAATCTAAACTACAATCTAAATAAGGCAAAAAATTATGACTCTTATTTTTTTGATTTTTTTAAATTTTACCTAATCCATGAGGACCTGTTGGTGGCATCATCCCTAATAATTCGGGTGTTATCATCATCGTGTGTAATTCAGGTTTTCCCTCATCCACACTATCCATGGAATGATCATGACCCGATATTCGACTACTATCCATTTCCAATAAAGATTGATCATCATCGTACGATTGAAGAGCCTCCAATTTAATATTAATACTACTAGATTCTTTTTTAATATCGCAATATTTCACGGTGGAATCTAAAATGAATTTGTTGTTTCGGAATCATAAAGGGAGGCGATTCAAGAGGGAAGGCAACAAAAAATAAAGAAGAATTATTTTTGTATACCTGATAGGTCAGTCCTATCGATTGAAGAGTTAGTCAGCAATGTTCTAGTGGGAGAGTGGTCATGCATGTCTACGTTTCCGACCGGGATAGCAGTCGGTGCCAGCGGCTCTGGTGGGAAATCATCGTTATCCACTCCGAACTGAGAGAACGAGAAAGTCTGTATTTTCGAGAATCAAAAAAAAAAGAATACTCGAGTTAGTCTTGCCAGCAGCCGTTACAGGATTTCGAAGTAAAAAGCGTTAATCAGCTGGTTATTTACAATTTAAAACAGTTAGTGGATACTAAAAACTACACTACAAGATCTAAAAGGAAAAGATTATAAAAAAGTATTTTTTTTTTGACATAATTATGCGATCGTTAAATCTAATTAAAATAAGTTTAAACGCGATATATAGTTTCCAGGAAAGTGTGCATACGAATATCATAAAGATTGTAATATTACTGGAATAACCCAAGTAACGGAACACGTAACGCTTAAGGATATAAAATCATTCAATCTTTATTTTGAAGCGTAACGCAACGATTCATATCTTAAATTAAAGCGAATATTTCTGCTTTATTCTACAGTTCAAAATGAATATGCCAGAAAAAACTTAAACTTAAAAAAGTTCCCCTGACTTTATTTCAGGGTGTTAAGAGATGGTTTATACTTTAAATTAAAGCTAAAACATTCCAGTTTATGATAAACTAGGGTATTAGAATGAAAATTGTTAGAAAAAGATTCGATATAGAAAAATTGACAGATGAGGTTATTTTCGAAAAGAAATCAAAAAGTTCCCCTAGGTTTATTTTTGGGTGTTAAGAGATGATTTATACTTTAAATTAAAGCTAAAACGTTCTATTTTATGATAAACTATAAAAGCTATAAGGTTTTATAATAAAAATTGTTGGAAAAAGATTCGATATAAAAAAATTGGCAGATGAGGTTATTTTCGCAAAAAAATCAAAAACTTCAAAAAATTCCCCTGGCTTTATTTCTGTGTGCTAAGAGATGGTTTATACTTTAAATTAAAGCTAAAACATTCTATTTTATGATGAATTATAAAAGCTATAGGGTTTTATAATGAAAATTACTAGAAAAAGATTCGATACAGAAAAATTGACAGATGAGGTTATTTTCGAAAAAAAATCAAAAACGTAAAAAAATCCCCTAGCTTTATTCCTGGGTATTAAGAGATGATTTAGACTTTAAATTAAAGCTAAAACATTCTATTTTATGATAATCTATAAAAGCTATAAGGTTTTATAATAAAAATTGTTGGAAAAAGAGTGTATGTAGAAAAATTGACAGATGAGGTTATTTTCGCAAAAAAATCAAAAACTTTAAAAAGTTCCCCTAGGTTTAATTTTGGGTGTTAAGAGATGATTTATACTTTAAATTAAAGCTAAAACATTCTATTTTATGATAAACTAGGGTATTATAATGAAAATTGCTAGAAAAATATTCGGTATAGAAAAATTGACAGATGAGGTTATCTTCGATAAAAAATTAAAAATTTCAAAAAGCTCCCCTAGGTTTAATTTTGGGTGTTAAGAGATGATTTATGCTTTAAATTAAAGCTAAAACATTCTATTTTATGATAAACTATAAAAGCTATAAGGTTTTATAACAAAAATTGTTGGAAAAAGATTCGATATAGAAAAATTGACAGATGAAGTTATTTTCGCAAAAAAATCAAAAGCTTCAAAAAATTCCCGTGGCTTTATTTCTGGATGTTAAGTGATGGTTTATACTTTAAATTAAAGCTGAAACATTCTATTTTATGATAAACTATGGTATTATAATGAAAAATGCTAAAAAAATATTTAATATAGAAAAACTGACTGATGAGGTTATTTTGACAAAAAAATCAAAAGCTTCAAAAAATTTCCTTAGCATTATTCCTGGGTGTTAAGAGATGATTTATACTTTAAATTAAAGCTAAAACATTCCATTTTATGATAAACTATAAAAGCTATAAGGTTTTATAATGAAAATTGCTAGAAAAACATTCGATATAGAAAAACTGACAAAAGAGGTTATTTTCGCAAAAAAATCAAAAACTTCAAAAAGCTCCTCTAGGTTTAATTTTGGGTGTTAAGAGATGATTTATACTTTAAATTAAAGCTAAAACATTCTATTTTATGATAAAATATAAAAGCTATAAAGTTTTATAACAAAAATTGTAGGGAAAAGATTCGATATAAAAAAATTGGCAGATGAGGTTATTTTCGAAAAAAATCATTAACTTCAATAAATTCTCCTGCCTTTATTTCTGGGTGTTAAGAGATGATTTATACCTTACATTAAAGCTGAAAGATTCTGTTTTATGATAAACTATAAAAGCTATGGGGTTTTCTAATGAAAATTACATAAAAAAATGTTCGATATAGAAAAATTGACAGATGAGGTAATTTTCGCAAAAAAATCAAAAACTTCACAAAATTCTCCTGGCTTTACTTCTGGTTGTCAAGACATGGTTTATACTTTAAATTAAAGCAAAAACATTCTATTTTATGATAAACTATAAAAGCTATAAGGTTTTATAATAAAAATTGTTGGAAAAAGATTCGATATAGAAAAATTGACAGATGAAGCTTTTTCGCAAATAAATCAAAAGCTTCAAAGAATTCTCATGGCTTTATTTCCTGGTGTTAAGAGATGGTTTATACTTTAAATTAAAGCTAAAACATTCTATTTTATGATAAACTAGGGTGTTATAATGAAAATTGCTAGAAAAATATTCGATATAGAAAAACTTACAGATGAGGTTATTTTTGAAAAAAAATCAAAAACTTCAAAAAGTTCTCCTAGATTTAATTTTGGGTGTTAAGAGATGATTTATACTTTAAATTAAAGCTAAAACATTCTATTTTATGATAAACTATAAAAGCTATAAGGTTTTATAATAAAAATTGTTGGAAAAAGATTCGATATAGAAAAATTGACAGATGAGGTTATTTTCGCAATAAAATCAAAAAATTCTGGTGGCTTTATTTCTGGATGTTAAGAGATGGTTTATACTTTAAATTAAAGCTAAAACATTCTATTTTATGATAAACTAGGGTGTTATAATGAAAATTGCTAGAAAAATATTCGATATAGAAAAACTTACAGATGAGGTTATTTTTGAAAAAAAATCAAAAACTTCAAAAAGTTCTCCTAGATTTAATTTTGGGTGTTAAGAGATGATTTATACTTTAAATTAAAGCTAAAACATTCTATTTTATGATAAACTATAAAAGCTATAAGGTTTTATAATAAAAATTGTTGGAAAAAGATTCGATATAGAAAAATTGACAGATGAGGTTATTTTCGCAATAAAATCAAAAAATTCTGGTGGCTTTATTTCTGGATGTTAAGAGATGGTTTATACTTTAAATTAAAGCTAAAACATTCTATTTTATGATAAACTAGGGTGTTATAATGAAAATTGCTAGAAAAATATTCGATATAGAAAAACTTACAGATGAGGTTATTTTTGAAAAAAAATCAAAAACTTCAAAAAGTTCTCCTAGATTTAATTTTGGGTGTTAAGAGATGATTTATACTTTAAATTAAAGCTAAAACATTCTATTTTATGATAAACTATAAAAGCTATAAGGTTTTATAATAAAAATTGTTGGAAAAAGATTCGATATAGAAAAATTGACAGATGAGGTTATTTTCGCAATAAAATCAAAAAATTCTGGTGGCTTTATTTCTGGATGTTAAGAGATGGTTTATACTTTAAATTAAAGCTAAAACATTCTATTTTATGATAAACTATAAAAGCTATAAGGTTTTATAATAAAAATTGTTGGAAAAAGATTCGATATAGAAAAATTGACAGATGAGGTTATTTTCGCAATAAAATCAAAAAATTCTGGTGGCTTTATTTCTGGATGTTAAGAGATGGTTTATACTTTAAATTAAAGCTAAAACATTCTATTTTATGATAAACTATAAAAGCTATAAGGTTTTATAATAAAAATTGTTGGAAAAAGATTCGATATAGAAAAATTGACAGATGAGGTTATTTTCGCAATAAAATCAAAAAATTCTGGTGGCTTTATTTCTGGATGTTAAGAGATGGTTTATACTTTAAATTAAAGCTAAAACATTCTATTTTATGATAAACTATAAAAGCTATAAGGTTTTATAATAAAAATTGTTGGAAAAAGATTCGATATAGAAAAATTGACAGATGAGGTTATTTTCGCAATAAAATCAAAAAATTCTGGTGGCTTTATTTCTGGATGTTAAGAGATGGTTTATACTTTAAATTAAAGCTAAAACATTCTATTTTATGATAAACTATAAAAGCTATAAGGTTTTATAATAAAAATTGTTGGAAAAAGATTCGATATAGAAAAATTGACAGATGAGGTTATTTTCGCAATAAAATCAAAAAATTCTGGTGGCTTTATTTCTGGATGTTAAGAGATGGTTTATACTTTAAATTAAAGCTAAAACATTCTATTTTATGATAAACTATAAAAGCTATAAGGTTTTATAATAAAAATTGTTGGAAAAAGATTCGATATAGAAAAATTGACAGATGAGGTTATTTTCGCAATAAAATCAAAAAATTCTGGTGGCTTTATTTCTGGATGTTAAGAGATGGTTTATACTTTAAATTAAAGCTAAAACATTCTATTTTATGATAAACTAGGGTGTTATAATGAAAATTGCTAGAAAAATATTCGATATAGAAAAACTTACAGATGAGGTTATTTTTGAAAAAAAATCAAAAACTTCAAAAAGTTCTCCTAGATTTAATTTTGGGTGTTAAGAGATGATTTATACTTTAAATTAAAGCTAAAACATTCTATTTTATGATAAACTATAAAAGCTATAAGGTTTTATAATAAAAATTGTTGGAAAAAGATTCGATATAGAAAAATTGACAGATGAGGTTATTTTCGCAATAAAATCAAAAAATTCTGGTGGCTTTATTTCTGGATGTTAAGAGATGGTTTATACTTTAAATTAAAGCTAAAACATTCTATTTTATGATAAACTATAAAAGCTATAAGGTTTTATAATAAAAATTGTTGGAAAAAGATTCGATATAGAAAAATTGACAGATGAGGTTATTTTCGCAATAAAATCAAAAAATTCTGGTGGCTTTATTTCTGGATGTTAAGAGATGGTTTATACTTTAAATTAAAGCTAAAACATTCTATTTTGTGATAAACTATAAAAGCTACATATAACTTTTTATAATGAAAATTCCTAGAAAAAGATTCGATATAGAAGAAGTGATAAATGACGTTATTTTCGCAAAAAATTCCCCTGGCTTTATTTCTGGGTGTTAAGAGATGATTTATACTTTAAATTAAAGCTAAAACATTCTATTTTATGATAAAATATAAAAGCTACAAGGTTTTATAATAAAAATTGTTGGAAAAAGATTCGATTCAGAAAAATTGACAGATGAGGGTATTTTCGCAAAAAAATTAAAAGCTTCAAAAAATTCCCCTGGCTTTATTTCTGGGTGTTAAGAGATGGTTTATACATTAAATTAAAGCTAAAACATTCTATTTTATGATAAACTATAAAAACTATGAGGTTTTATAATAAAAATTGTTGGAAAAAAATTCGATATAGAAAAATTGATAGATGAGGTTATTTTCGCAAAAATTTCACAAAATTCTCCTGGCTTTATTTCTGGTTGTTAAGAGATGGTTTATACTTTAAATTAAAGCTAAAACATTCTATTTTATGATAAACTAAGGTATTATAATGAAAATTGCTAGAAAAATATTCGTTATAGAAAAACTGAGATAAGGTTATTTTCGACAAAAAATTAAAAACTTCACAAAATTCCGCTGGGTTTATTTCTGGTTGTTAAGAGATAGTTTATACTTTAAATTAAAGCTAAAACATTCTATTTTATGACAAACTATAAAAGCTATAGGGTTCTATAATAAAAATTGCTAGAAAAAGATTCGATACAGAAAAATTGACAGATGAGGTTATTTTCGAAAAAAAATCTAAAACTTCAAAAAGTTCCTCTAGATTTATTTTTGGGTGTTAAGAGATGATTTATACTTTAAATTAAAGCTAAAACATCCTGTTTTATGATAAACTAGGGTATTATAATGAAAATTGCTAGAAAAATATTCGATATAAAAAAATTTACAGATGAGGTTATTTTCGAAAAAAAATCAAAACTTTCAAAAAGTTCCCCTAACTTTATTTTTGGGTGTTAAGAGATGATTTATACTTTAAATTAAAGCTAAAACATTCTATTTTATAATACAATATAAAAGCTATAAGGTTTTATAATGAAAATTGTTAGAAAAATATTCGATATAGAAAAACTGACAAATGAAGTTATTTTCGCAAAAAAATCAAAAACTTCAATAAATTCTCCTGCCTTTATTTCTGGGTGTTAAGAGATGATTTATACCTTACATTAAAGCTGAAAGATTCTATTTTATGATAAACTATAAAAGCTATGGGGTTTTGTAATGAAAATTGCATAAAAAAATGTGCGATATAGAAAAATTGACAGATGAGGTTATTTTCGCAAAAAAATCAAAAACTTCACAAAATTCTCCTGGCTTTACTTCTGGTTGTTAAGACATGGTTTATACTTTAAATTAAAGCGAAAACATTCTATTTTATGATAAACTATAAAAACTATAAGGTTTTATAATAAAAATTGTTGGAAAAAGATTCGATATAGAAAAATTGACAGATGAAGCTTTTTCGCAAATAAATCAAAAGCTTCAAAGAATTCTCATGGCTTTATTTCCTGGTGTTAAGAGATGGTTTATACTTTAAATTAAAGCTAAAACATTCTATTTTATGATAAACTAGGGTGTTATAATGAAAATTGCTAGAAAAATATTCGATATAGAAAAACTTACAGATGAGGTTATTTTTGAAAAAAAATCAAAAACTTCAAAAAGTTCTCCTAGATTTAATTTTGGGTGTTAAGAGATGGTTTATACTTTAAATTAAAGCTAAAACATTCTATTTTATGATAAACTAGGGTATTATAATGAAAATTGCTAGAAAAATATTCGATATAGAAAAACTGACAGATGAGGTTATTTTTGAAAAAATATCAAAAACTTCAAAAAGTTCTCCTAGATTTAATTTTGGGTGTTAAGAGATGATTTATATTTTAAATTAAAGCTAAAACATTCTATTTTATGATAAACTATAAAAGCTATAAGGTTTTATAATAAAAATTGTTGGAAAAAGTCCGCTATAAAAAAACTGACAGATGTGGTATTATTTTTGCAAAAAAAAACATATATTTCAAAAAATTCCCCTGACTTTATTCCTGGGAGGCAAGAGATGGTTTATACTTTAAATTAAAACTAAAACATTCTATTTTGTGATAAACTATAAAAGCTACATATAACTTTTTATAATGAAAATTCCTAGAAAAAGATTCGATATAGAAGAAGTGATAAATGACGTTATTTTCGCAAAAAATTCCCCTGGCTTTATTTCTGGGTGTTAAGAGATGATTTATACCTTACATTAAAGCTGAAAGATTCTGTTTTATGATAAAGTATAAAAGCTATAAGATTTTATAACAAAAATTGCTAGAAAAAGATTCGATATAGAAAAACTGACAGATGAGGTTATTTTTGCAAAAAAAAAAATCAAAAGCTTTAAAAAATTCCCCTGGCTTTATTTCTGGGTGTTAAGAGATGATTTCTACTTTAAATTAAAGCTGAAACATTCAAGAAAAAAATTTGAAATAAAAAACTGATAAAAGTTGAATGAAAAGATGAATGTTTAACCATCTGGTAGTCCAAAAATTTAGATCAGAAAAAGACTTTATGTTTATTAAATGGATTTAAAGGCTGCATTTAACGGCAGCGAAAAAAACATGTATTGAGAGACTGATGAGACTGAGAACGATAGTAAGTTCTAAGTGGAGGAAAACTGATGCAAACAGATGATGGGCGTAGTGGTTCAGCCTTATTAAACCGAGGTTGCTTGCTATAGATGCGCTACAATTAAATAAACTTAGCTTATTACGTTGATTATAATATATATTCTTGATCCCAAGTTAAACCGAGGCCACTTGTGGCAGAAGCGTTATTGTTAATTACATATTGTTGTAGTTTAGACAATATACTGTTGCGCCTCGAGCTCAAGCGATCTCGGCTTAACTTAGAATGAAAAATTTGTGATTTCTTTTTATTTAGCCGAAGGTGTAGCCCTATATTGTAACGATATTTATTTAATTGTAGCGCCTTGAGTTTAATTAAAAAAAGATATATTACAAATACAACACAAATAGGAAGTATCTAAATTGTTTCTTTACTATAGGTTATATAATTAATTATTTATTTGTCTAATAAATTAAAAAGATTTTCTTTCTTATTCGTTATTAGTAATCAATAATTACCTAATTGAAGCGATATTCATTCTATACTATGTTTTAATTTGTATTCTTTTATTCTTGTTTTAATTCCAAAAAGGGCAAAAACAGAGAATTCTGTTAGAATCAGGTTGTTGTAGCTTCCAATTATCATTTTAGTTTTCCTCGTTGAATATTCCAAATACAGAAACTAACAAGGTGTGCAAAAGCTGGAAATATCAGCAAATATTTAGTCAATCGAACTTATTTAATTAATTTCTTTCTCTACTAGCTCAACCTTTAGTCGCATAAATCAACCTTTAGTATGCATACTTTCCTATCTCACTTAAGTTATCTTAAGAAAACGTTTATTATTTTTTTTTAAGATTAACTAATCATGTCATATTACTTTTATTTTTATATAAATTTTTGATTTATTTCTAACTAAACTCTAGAAAGGGATAACTTTCTAGTTAATTGAACATATATTTTTAACGAGAAATCTTACTTGTTCAGGTAACGGTCCATGACTAGTCATATTAACGCGGGTCTCTTCGCTCTCTGTAAGTTTCCTCTTCTTACTCTCTTCGTCTAAGGCAATTGGCATCTCATTTTCCTCGTCCGAACCAACGTCGTTATTCACTTCATCTTTACCGGTATTTTCTGTATTGTTTTCTTTATTACAATTTTCTTTATCGTCTTTATCCTGCGATTTCCGCCTTTCCGACCTTTTCTGTTTGTGTTTCCTGTTGTTGTTTTCCGTTACGGATTTGTTATGTTGCGGTTTAGGAGATCCGATCCGTCGTATTTTATGTCTTCTTCCTTCGAACGCGAAGCTCGATTCGATATCTTCGTTCTCGTCCGGATTTTCACACAAACCTTTTATTTTAAGTTGATCTGCTGTTTTTAGTAATGACTGTAATTAAAAACAAATTTAAATCAATTTCGCAATAAAAATAATATAAAAAAATTCGATTTGTATAATCGTATCGGTTTTGTGAAAACAACCGATTGTATGCAGATTTAGAAAATGGTGAGAAGGAAATTGTTTCTTCAACAACATGTAAATGTGTGGCCGTGCACTTTCCACAAAGACGAGAAAGTGCTGGATGTCGAACAGGCGGATGTCGCGAGAATTTAGAGAAGTGGAATCGAAAGCAGATGATAAACGGTGCGCGAGGCGATGATGATGATGAGCTCGAGGATTAAGAGAAATCCTACATTAATCTGCAATCGAGCATACTATTTTGCAATAAATTTTAGCTAACAAACAATAAAAAAATGCTATAAAAAGTTTCATTAAATAAATGGTGCGGTTTTATTTGCGTTTTAATGTAATTACTTAAATAAATAATCTCTTTTAGAGACAAATAAACGTTTTTAATTTATTAATGGATTTAAATTTAATTAATATTAAAATTATAAATACATCATCAAATTAGAAAACTTTGTTAAATCATATTTTAGAATTATTGTACAAGAAATTGTTAAGTAGCATCACAAGATCCCGAGTGGATTTGCTTCACCCGGAGTTTCAGCTAATAGGTTATTGCGATATTTGAATAAAAATGAAAATAATATGAAAGGTGATAAGATATGTCAACTTATTTGGATCCAAGATACTTATGAACTTTTTTGATGCTGATTTAACTCACGAAGCAACTCTAAAAAGAGGATGCTTTAATTAATAATTGGTGATATTTCCACAAGGATCCTCCAAGAACTTAATTTTATAGCGAATTTTGAAAATTATCGATAAAAATTGCAACATCAACAATTTTATTAAAACTTCAAATATTGTTTTCTCAAAAACTAAAAGTTATTTTTCAAAACGTGTTGGTTCATTAAAAAGAGGACATTCTTATTAACACTTTGGGAAATTTTCATACTCATATTCCAAGAAATGGATTTTATACGAATTTTTAAAACTTAATCGGCGAAAATTGCAAAATTCGAAAAAATTGTCGATCATTTCAAAAATTTATTTCTCAAGAACTAAAAGCGATTTTTCAAAACGGCTTGTTGCATTAAAAAGAGGATACTTTAATTAATAATTGGTGATATTTCCACAAGGATCCTTCAAGAAATTAATTTTATAGCGAATTTTGAAAGTTATCGATGAAAATTGCAACATCGAAAATTTTATCAAAACTTCAAATATTGTTTTCTCAAAAACTAAAAGTTATTTTTCAAAACGGGTTGGTTCATTGGAAAGAGGACACTTTTATTAACACTTTGGGAAATTTTCATACTCATATTCCAAGAAATGGATTTTATACGAATTTTTAAAACTTAATCGGCAAAAATTGCAAAATTCGAAAAAATTGTCGATCATTTCAAAAATTTATTTCTCAAGAACTGAAAGTGATTTTTCAAAACGGTTTTTTGTATTAAAAAGAGGATACTTTAATTAATAATCGAAAGTGATAACAGCGACAGTTCTGTCAGTAATAAATGTGATGATGAATTATAAGCGAAGAGAAGAAAACCAGACGAAACTCCAACAAGACATTTAATATATCGTATTGGGATTGTTACAGTGAGGTTGCTAATGACTGGCCTTGCTAAAACCTGCTAAAGGAGACTTCCACAATTAATTAATTTAATACTCGACGGCTTGAATCAATACTCGAGCAAGTAGCAGAAAGCGACTCAACCTAAAAAACGAAACGTTGTTGACTCAGTGTTGGATTAATAAACTGGATTATCCCACCTAGCCACATATTGTGAGAGACGTGGCGTTATTATGCAAAAAAGTGATTGAAATAGACCTCGTAGATAAGCCTGGGGTGCATAAAGTTTTATCAGAAGTCTTCATCCATTTGAAGGAAACCAGATTAAAGTCAATATAGGGAAAGATATGTGTGAAATCATCGCGAATGATGAAAAAGATACTTCTCTTTCCAAGGATAAGGTGTCCATCTAGATCTGGAGATTATTAATAACTCTTTGATAAAACCTGAGTGAACGGCACTGGACCAAGATAAGCATGGACTTTCACCATCGACGATATATTGCCAGCCATAGAATATCTGCCTAATTCGTAGCTTAGAAATCAAAAAAGAAGCATGGAAGATAATCAAAAATCTGTTGAATGAAAGAAAAGAGTCTGGAACATTGCAGAAAATCGCTTATAGAAGACAGGCCAGAATTCAAAGGATGAATAGACGAGGTACAGATAGATGGCTGACATTAAATGTATGACAGCAAAGTAAAGAATTCGCTAAAAGAAATGAAGTTCTGTAAAACCCCGAGTTCTGGAAACATTTCGGTTTAATTTCCACATATTGTGATAGAAGCTCTGCCAGATATTTTTAATAAATGGTTGGTAGAAGGACAAAACATTCCAGATTACTGGACCTTGGCATTCAATGGTTCCATATATATGTATAAAAAGGGCAATAGGAGAGAATGCGAAAGCTATTGAAGAATAAGTAATTGAGAAACGAATGGCTTGGGAATGGATCTATATATCTTGTATTTATCGATCTGGAGAGAGCTAATGATATGGTACATTTAGAAAAAAGATGTTTTTTTTTGGAACGTCTATTGGAGTTTTGACGAAAAATTTTGAAATTGGAAGAAAATTGTGAAACAAATTGAAATGATTAAGACAAGGATGCTCTCTATTGCCAATTCTGTTCAAAATATATGTCCAAAAAGCCCTGAGAAGCTGGAGACCAAAATGTGCAGGGCTAAAGGATAGAGGTCGGTGACCATTTTATTCCTTGTGAATATAAACTTCCTGGCAGTAAATATCCAAGGAGGGAAAATCGGACAGACAAAATTACTCTTAAAATAAAAATGACAATCTATAAGACAATCATGGATTCTATATGGACCAAGGTTGGCAATTAAAAATATCACACCTAGAGCATATGGCTAATGAACAGATTTGAAAATGCATAATTAGGAGCTACACTACAGCGGAGAGAATAGAGGCCAGATTACCGATATGGTCTTGTTATGCATGGACACGCCATGCGAATGAGAGAGTCTAAAAAAGCAATAACGATGTTCAGAAATAGAGCAGAAAAAGAGGGAGACCAGGTAAGACATATCTATGTCTTCCATCTGGAAGGAATTAGAAATACAATGAAGGAAAGAGACATTGAAGAGGAAGAAATAACAAATTTCCTGGAAAGGTTGGGATTGTTAATAGAGTACTGCGAATAGCAGACTCCTCTTCTTATAGGGACTTAGGAAGAGGAAAATTCTTTAATTCCAGTCAATTTCTAGTAGAGTACGTGCTGGGATGAGCACAGCCATTAGGACAACCAATCGATCTCATCTGAGAAGTAAGTAGGTTTTCCTAAATACATCAATACTTACAACATACTAAGGTTGTTGCAGAAATTTAAAACAATTTCTGTGCAAAAGACCGAATTGATATCACCTTCATTAAGAGTTATCGGCCACAACAATTGTCTTAATGTATCTCTTAATATTTTCTGCTTTATGACTAGATGTGTCCACTTATCAATGTTTCTCTTTTAATTTCAGAACACAACTACTGTGATTGGGCTTTGACACTGAAAATTCAAGGTGAGACGAGTTGGAGAAAAATCGTTATCTATTCAGCTTACTTTCTCGGCCATTATTTTGCTACTATGCAAGATGTGATTGAATTCAGTCAAAAGAAAAATTTTCAATTTCGTTTAAGTACTTTCATCACAATCTTTAGTGTAGTAAGCGAGATGTTGACAAAACTTTGGTGTTCTTTTGGCATGTCTCTAACTTTTTCTGTCGTATTTTGGCATAAAAAATTTGACGAAATCAAAAAGAAATTAATTAAAGTGAGTCTATTTCTGCTTCATCTTGTAGATATACTTTTCATTCAGAAACATTTTAGCTAATAAAAATATCGTTGACCTCACCTCTGATTTAGACATACATTTAACATTATTACCTCAAAATCTAGTTTAATCGAAACACATATATTAGAGTAGGGTCGGTGTACCAATTATAGTCATTGTTTCAGTTATAGCCACTTTCCAGATTTTTACCTTATACCTAAGGTAAACAATCTAGCCTGACGTCACACAAGCGCATAACAACAGAGAGCCTAACCTAAAAATGTATGTGGTTGTGTTTCCAGTTCGGTCGTGTTTTCACTAAATTCTTGTCGGTTTGCTTAAAAACACAGGTAAGTAACTCTGGTAACATTGGCACTATGTAATGTTTGTCTGTGCATTTATATCTTGTTTGTGCTTATAAAGATACGTTTATTTACTGATTTTTGTTCACGAGGTTTTATAAATTAAAAGTGGCTATAAATAGAACACATATAAAATATTTTTCCATGTATAGTCACTTAGATGGATATATTTGGACAAATGTGCCAATTTTAGCCAGGATATGGCTATATTTAGACCATTGATGTATCAATTATAGCCAAGTTAGTTTTTAGCTTTGGTATTTTGTTGAGAATGGCACCATCAAAAAAGAAAAAGAAAACAAAATAAATATTAATAGATCTATGCAAAGAAATACAGTAGAACAAGATGGAATGGCTGTGGCAAAGACCAGTAGTAGTTTTGCAGTGCCTAGAAGAATTTTGCGTGATAAGTTAAGTGGTAAAACTTCAGCAAAGATGAAAAAAGTTGGAAAAAAGTGCTTTCTAGCTAAAACCACTGATTAAAAACTAAAAACAACATTGTTTCTGTAAAGAAACTACAAGTTTACTTGGACAGCAGTGTTTATAGCCAATCAATGTCAAATAGTAGCCCATGTTTTGGCAGTTTGATTCCTGTATTATTTCTAGGTAAGGATATTGAAGATCAACTTGAACACTGAATATTGACAAACGCGAGCCATGGATTTCCAGTGAACAAGGAAGGACTAATGTATTCTGTTCAGCAAATATTGCAGAAGAACACTCCTTTCACAAACAATAAACCAGGAAGGAAATGGTTCGAATCCTTTTTGAAACGTTATACTCGAATAAGCCAAAAACAACGAAGAAAAAATTAGAGCTTGGTTTGCCGATGATTAAGAGGTTCAATTGAAGACAGTGAAGTTTTTAGTCACGCAGAAAGAGTCTGGATATACATATATTATATACATCTATCTGAATATACATATATTATAATTATTAATCGTTGCACTTCTTTTTCAAATCATTACATCTTTATATAGTAGTTTTCAATCAAGTATGATTAAGATTTAGATTAAGTATGGTGGCTAAATATAGTGCATACACCAGGCTACTATCATTAAGAATCATAGCACCTAACGACAATTCAATTCTTTGCAAAATACAAGGCATGGAATTCAAAACAATCCTTAAACTGGCTATAAGTGACTAAATGCCGACTAAATAAAGAAGACATTAGCATTATTGGGAAATGACTGTTAAATTGTCTGAAAGATTATATAATAGTTACTAATTCGGATATTACATATATGTTATTTTAATTTGTAATTAAACTGGTTAATCCGCTTATTTGAGAGAAATCTAAAAGATTGAGTTTCTACAAATTATTTGGTTATGAAACATAATCAAAAATCTTAAAATTAAAGCACTACACTTAAAGAGAATATAAATTTATTCGTTAATTGTTTCAATAATTCAATTCATTTATTATAGCGTTATTTTCTTTTGTACGGGTAATAATAATAATAGCATGACATAGTTACGAATGGATGAATCTCTATAACAAACAGAGACGTTTACTTTCACTTTCAGTTTCCAAAGACAGTGAAAACCAAGTGGGTATGTGTGTGCAGTAGTACTACGGTGGAGGAGGACGAAGGAGCAGCACAGAGTCGTCCTTGAACCGGGATATTATTGATTGGTCCTAAACGCACCAGCATCACTTTCGCTCACTCCCCCTTATTTTTTGTTACAATTTTTAACGAATTGCAAACTTTTTCGATCGATTAAAATAACCAAAAGTTCAATTCGGTAACAATTCATCAGGGTGGCCATCGAATTGGGTACTTACTAAAAGAGGGTGGGGACCCCGTGGGGTGAACGGTCATGAAACTTGCCGTTATAAAGTTTTATTGGGTCGGTTTGGTGTAGGAAGAAGATATAAAAGAAGAGAATGCAAGGAGCAAAACAGAGAAAAGCCGAGAAGAGCCACCTGGCTTTTCTTTTTTATTTTTAAAGGGGGTGGATCCTTCTCCCGTTTCTAAGAACGGCGGATTTTTCTCAGAAGGGGATCTCCCTCCCCCACCCCGCCCAACCCCTCGGACACTTTCGGGGGGAAAGTGCATTCCGTGCACCAGAGTCAGAGCCACACATGCACACGATGATGACACATACTTACGGGAGAGGGCGCAGTCACTACGTGAGGTAGAAGAGAGTTGCGTTGGGGACCCGCGCGAAGCGCCACTAAGACTGGAGCCTTCGCAAGAGGCCTACCACTACAGGGGGATGCTGTACGCCAGCAGCGGTAGATCGAGAAATGGTCGGCGCACGCATCGAAGTAGTTGCTTTAATTGAGCTTTTTTTGCGCGACCCGTATATATAGATATACAAGACGAGGCCTTTTTCCAAAGCTCGACCGAAACCAACCCCCCGCCCCCGCGAACATCGATGCTCTCACGCCGCCTCTGGACGTTTAGACCCAACATTCTAAACACAACCCTGTTTATCCTTTCAATTTAAAACCCCACGAAATATCATTTCTTTGCCACATCATTATATTCATGAGCATATTAACAACCCTTAAAATAAACGTAAACTTTATCCAATAATTTTATTTGTCTAGAGAACAATTGCGAATGTTTTGATGGTTTTTCTAAGAATGTCTTGAAGTGAGCGAAGATCCCAGAAAAAGGAATAAAGAGAAAAGTCTTGGACTAAAAAAAAAATAGAGAGATAGGTAGAGGGTGGATGGATGAATCCCGGGAAAGCGGGGCTATACGGACCGACCTAAAAACGTGCGCTGAAACGCCACACAGGCCTACGATTGATTTTTATTGTCGTTGCGATCCGGGCAACGCGCGGGGGAACGACGAAAAGAGTGGATGAGGAGAGAGAAAGACGGGATGAACACGGTGGTGGTGGTGTGCGCGGGGTTTACCCCAGTCCCGGGTAAATCGCCATCCTTCCCCATGTTTTATACCGATGCGAGGTACGATTCTGTCAGCGGATGTAAACGGGGTAATTTCATTTTTTTTTAGTAAAAAATTTAATATAAAGTTTGAAAAGATGTTGATTTGATAGTTTTATTTTATAGAACTTATTTCAGAAAATACTAATAGAAGATACCATAAAATTTTAATAAAATAAAATCGCCACATTTCTAATATAAGAATTATTTAACTATAGAGTAGATACCAAAAAGTAGCAATAACAAAAGCACTACTAACTCTTTCAGAATAGGCTTCGACTTTGCTGCTTTGGATGAAATTAAAACAGAGGTTTCTGGCCTAAAGGTGTCTTATCGGTTTTTTCGGAGATAAGATCCCGGAGAAGTATGTTAAAATGATCATCCTAAATGTAAATACTCAATCATTACTTCAGAAAGTGGACGCGTTTGAAATCATGCTTGATGAACATAGCTTGGACAGTGCTTGCATAACCGAGTACTGGCTGCGCCAAAAAGATTGTGCTCAATTAAATAGTCATGAATGGATGTCAATGTTTTGTCAGAAAAGTAAAATTCATGGGAGGCGTTGGCATTCTGGTAAAAAATGGAATAAAAACTAAGAGCTAAAAGCTTAAGAGTCTAAATGTTACTTTGTTATAATGACAGTGTATAGGTCCCCTGGCGGTAATCTCCAAATTTTCTAAGATAGACTTAGTGAAGCACTGCATATTGGAAAATGACTTTAAAAATCATAAAATTGTTCTAACTGGAGATTTTAATATTAACTTTATGGAGGAAAGCAAGTCGAGGAATCAATTGACAGATGTGATGGAAGACTATCGTACAATTTTACATCGCCTTTCAGGGTCACAGAAAAATCTGCAAGTTGCATTGACAATATTTTCAGTAATGTTTGCCTTTTTATACTGGCGGCTTCAACCATGGAACTGCATATCTCCGACCACCGTGGCCAGTTATTGAGGATTATGGGTGATAGGGGCAGTCCTTCTAAGCAATACAAAAGCATAAAGGCGAGAGTGCGAAGTGAGCGAATCGATGGAGTCTGCTTTTTCAGAGGAGCTCTGGTAATGCCTGTTACAATCAATTCCATGAATGTTTTTTTTCCCAAATATAATACTTTTTTTCCAGTACATAATAAAAGGGTTAAAATAAACGTGAGAAGCAGGTGCAGATTATCGCAATCTGTTCTGGAGAAAAAGCTTTTGTTGGATTCGCTGGGTATGATGGCTGCGAGTAAGATAGATGCTCAATCTTACGAAATTTATAATACCTGTAAGCTGGAATATCTACTACTGGTGAATGAAGACTGGTGACTGAAGCTATATAAAGCGCTGCCAACAAAAATAATAAAATGTGGGAGATAATAAGAACAGAAAAAGGCATTAAGGAAAAAAATCACAAGGTAATAATGATTTAGACGCTTCTGGTTTCAGTCCTCGACTCATCCTGAGGTTTGCTTAACAAAAATCAACAAAAACTGCTGAAGATGGTGCTGAAGAGATTTTACGTATTATTAATAAAATGAAACGAGGCGATAGTCAAGACATATATGACTTTATCGCTATTATGATCAAGTTAGTAGGTGACGTAATTTCGCCGCCCCTGGCTATAATTTTTAATAAATGTATGGAGTGTTTCCGGACAAACTGAAAATTGCCAAAATAACTCCGGTCTATAAGAAAAGGGACAAAAGCAATTACGGCAATTATCGCCTGATTGCACTCTTGCCTTTTCTAAGGTATTTGAACAAATTATCAAACGCCGTCTCTTAAACTATCTAGAGAAATATAACATTCTTGAGAATGCTATAGAACGGGCAAATCAACAACATCGGCTATCATCGAACTTATTAGTCATATCACGGAAGCACACGATGATGCCATCCTCCATCATGCCATCCTATTGTCTAAACTTGATTATTATGGGCATCAGGGGAAAAGCAAATATATTGCTAGAATCGTATTTATCCAGACGATATCACTGTGTCAGGTGGAACTCGGATCTCTCTGAAATGACAGAATGCAATTGGGGTGTTTCCCAGGGATCAAAACTTGGCCCCCTTCTATTTATAGTTTATATAAATGATCTCCCAAAAAATGTAGAAAGTGCTATGTCATGTCTCTATGCGGATGATACCTCCTGTAGTTCGAGGGCATGCTGCCGAGGATGTTGAGAATAGTAGTAATGATACACTCGTCTCTGATGGTGACTGATTAAGTACAATAAATAACGAAGAGACTCAAACACTGGATTTCTTCCACAAACAAGATAAGAATACTATAAAGCTTCTGGGCCTGATGTTACCTGATACCCCATTAAATTGGGGGGAACATATAAGTGCATTGTGTACTCGGTTGGCGGGTGTGGTGTTTTTGGTGAGCAGATTGACACATCGTGCTACGCTAGAAATCGCCAAAACGGCTTATTTCGCGTGTTTTCATGCTATCGCCGGGTATGGTATTGCAGTGTCAGGATCGGCCTCGGCAATGCAGAGAATATTTTTGCTTCCAAAGAGGTGTGTGCGTGCGCTTGATGGCCTCGGACAGATGGAAAGTTGTAAGCCGTCATTCAAAACATAACATTTTAACAATTCCGTGTTTGTATGTGTTAGCATGCTTGGATTTTGTGCATAAAAAATAAAACTAATTATCCAAAAAACTGTCATCTGCATGACTATGATACACGTAATAGATTATTTTTTGAAGTACCGTCCTATCGCCTTAAAACAACATTTTTATTCGATTCACGAATTTCTAACTTGCGAAAATTTGTTTGACTCTGTAGTCTAGAGACTTTGCATTGTACTGTGTTTTTGTATTGGTCTTTGGACTTTACAAGAAAAATTTGAAATTATTGTCATTTACGGCGAATATGCCGAAAGAAGAATAGAAAAAATATAAATATGCAATATTGGAGTATAATTTCATGCTGGATTTCTCAATCAACAACAAATATATAGATTTTCTTGAAAAGCATCTACCAGAATTTCTTGAAGGCCAAAGCTTTAATGTATTTTTATGATTGAAGATGTGCTTTCAACATGATGATTATCCTAACACGTTCCTTAATAACACACGAAGTTTCAGATTAAAATTAATATAGTGTAAGTTATATGGTAATATAACAATTAAACCTGATATACCCAATATAGATTTGACATATTTCTTAATTATTGAGAAGCTTTTATACCATCGTATAGGAGGTCTTCTGGGGGGGTGTTTGCTCTTGGGGGTCATCTTTGACTATCTTTGGTACTCTTGAGGCTTTCATACGTTCAACTGGTCTCTCCTTTTTCCATTCCATTTCACAATGTTCAGGATATTGCATATGTCTCTGATATCCTCATTTCTTTTATGGTCGCACAAGGTGTATCTTAGCATCTTTTGTGGTTGAATTCTTGTCTGTATCGCATATGTCATAACAGGTCTTACACAGGCTTTATATATGACCTTGCTTTCTACGGAGATATACTTACTTTGCTATATTATGTCCCTCGGGTAATCTGATATCAAAGCTCCATTCGTTGTTTGAGCTAAAACTTTTTTAGGATGTTCCTGCTCCTCGTAATATTGACAGGAAGATATTTAAAACTCATCACCTGTCCTATAGTCCTTATTGTATACTGCTAATTTGTAACGGCGTGGGTTCCTTGTTATTAGTTGACCACCAACAACATCGTCGTTCGCATTGCAAACCATTTTCAGTTCTTCGTTTCGCAACTAACAACCTTTTGCAACCCTTCTCACGTCAGTTATTATTTCATCTATGATCAAGTTGAAGAGTGCGGTACTTGGACAGTCTCCCTATTTCATGACAGTTTGTATGGGTTCTCTGCTTGCCTTTCTTTTCTCTGTTCTTGTTCTTATCTAGCTATTAGTGATCAGCTCCGCGAGAATATTTATATTTATTATATGAGATTGCACTTTTCATTTTTTCAGGAGTCTCACAACTTTCGTTAAATGTTGCAAGGTCAACAAAACACATGTACACTACTTTGTTAGATTTAATACCTTTCTCAAATCAATATACAAAACAAAGAAAAGATAATACTCAGGGATAAACCAATACTATAATGTGATCCACAAACCGTCAATGAATTTGTCAAAGTTTGATATCATTATGTAAGAATTTTCAAGCATTGACAAACTGCGAAGAACAACCAGACATTTCCAACTATTTCATGGGATATCTAAATTTTCTTAATTGTATCTTAGGATTGTCGAGAATATCCAAGGATTTCTATAAGAGTAGAGGTAACGGTAAAGTATTCCAATCTTTCAGAAGATCCTTTCAAAGACATAACCAAAATGGAGTGGCAAGAACCAATAGAGTGAAAAGCGACGAAATTAGAACAAGATTGAACACGAAGCCTGTTTTACAAGTAGTGGAGGATATTAAGTTAAGATGGTATGGTGAGAATGAAGAGCAATAGAGAGGTGAAAAGAATTTGGAAAGGCAAAACAAAGGATAGAAACAAGACAAGAAGCAACGAAAGCAAGAATGAACATCACGATTCCGCAAAAATGACCCACTTAGAAAGAAGTTCTATCAACAAGAAGTAAGAAGATAGTTAATTAGTGACCTGGGCGTTGTAATTATTGAGTGAGAGAGTTTTGTTCTACAAACATTGTTCACAATTTCACCGAGTGTGTTTAAGCTTAATGACATTTTGTAGAAATTTGTTTAGTCTTTTTGAAATGTTGGTATATTGATTTAATAAAACACAGATTGGATTTAAAATGATCAAAATCGATTAGAATATTATAAAGGATAGGGTCATTAAGACCAATGAGTGAGGATTCAAATTTTTTTGGGATGCATAGATTCGGAAATAAAATAACACAGCGTCATTCAATTTTAATTTTGTTTAAAAATGTTTGTATATTAATCAAGCTTATTGGAATTCGTCCAAGTATACGATTGATACTATATCGGTTGTTATACATAAATCATGATTTTGTATATTGATTGGAATACACAAGAAAAAGTACTGACACTTTGTATCAACAATATATCACGACTAATAAATCAAAGAAACAAAATTATTAATATAACAAAATATATAACAAAAAAGTTTTTAAATAACTCGCAATAGCTGGTTTATCTATAAATAAAAATTCAGTTATCACATCAACAGATGTGATATAAACGAGAAATATTACAATGTCACCCCTAAAATGTACAGTCGAACCCTAAAATTGTCTCCCCCCAAAATATTTTTTTGCAAACTGAATCTACAATGCGCACTCCCGGATTTTAATCGGATTATTGATCATTTCCAGCAATTTAATATTTACAATATAATACAATAGTGTTCGACGTTTGCAGGAAATGCAATAACGCAGTCCGTCCCGAAATAATTTCGTTATTGGTTTATTGAATTGGACGCGTTCCAACTGCGTCAATTAAAAATTATACATAATTTTAATCAATTTTAATTAGGACCTCGTCCGATTATTAGAAATTAACTAATTAGAAATATTCGATTCAGTTTGAAAGAAACGTAATGTCTTAAAAATCTCAGTGTTTTAGTTGCACAGTTGATTGAAAGCCAACAAAACCATCCTTACTACCCTTTTCGATCAATAAAACACCGTTCCCTGTAAAAACACTCCAAAGAAAACAGTTCCCTCATTTTCACCAGGGAACACTAGATGGTGCTCGTGAAAAAGATAATACATTCTTGCGCACTCAATACAACTTGTAAAATCAATAATTGTAATCAAACGAAATAATGGAAGAAAAAAGTCTGATCGATATCAAATTGGATCAAATTAAAGGTAATAATAGAGAATACTCTTTCTTGAAATACAGGTATAAAAAATGTATTTTAAAAGCTTTTTTTAAATTGAGTTGTTAGGATTGAAAACAATAAAAATTGTTAATTTTAATTGTTGAAAATTTCATAAATATTTTTTAATATTAGAGACAAACTAGACAGATAATTCATTATTTGCTGAATGTATTATGTTTTGAAATGGTATTCAAGAAACTTGCTTAATAATAAAAAAACATGATATACTTTCTCGATGAAAACACAAGTTGCTGCTTGTATTATTAAAAGAAAAATGAAGATAACTGACCAGTTAACGGAAGTTCTGTGTAATTTTCAAAAAGAACAAAATACTCATTGAATTGCCTTATTGTTTATAAAGCACATTTATGATTCATCGAAATGAATCAACTCTTGGTATTTTAACTGTACGCCTAAAAGGTCTTATATAAATGAATGAAATAACAAGAAGAAGAACTGAAACTATTCATCCCGTTTATAGAAAAATGGGAGAGATGTTTTATTCAAGCAAATAAAGTGCTCGACTTAGAATGAACTCTTGATACTTAAGCAATTTTTATGGACATTATGAACGAATTATGAATACTGGGTTTTCCAATAAAGAAAGGTCGATGTTGATAGTCTGTGGCGGCCATGTTGTTTTAATGGCATCTCCCAAATTTATTATTTAATCCAAATGATAAAACTTTATTGTCAAAATGAGTCATTATTATGGTCATTTTACAGCAGGCGCAATGGCTCTTCAAAGTCGACTCTACAAACCGATAAACAATCGCGAGTCTGTCGATTCTGCGTTGTGCACAAAAGCTCGGACTTTCACAGACTTCGACTTTGCGAATTTTGCCCCAGAATTCTTGCCCAGAAGCTCAATATTAATGACCAGGGGCAATGCGATTGTTTGCTGAATGAATGCCGGAGCGTTTGGAAGAGGACCCAAATTTTGGCCAAAAAATCATCTTCAACAATGTAATCTTGCCATATATGCAACAATGAATACTCACACGAGGTTCACCAGGTGGCAATGCATCCATAACAAGTTACTGTTTTTGTGCGGAGTTTAGGCCAGCAACATCATTGGTCTGTACTTCATCAAAAACGACGTTGGTGAGACCATCACCATCAAAGGCGAATGCTACAGATCAATGATAACCACTTTCTTTTGGCCCCAATTGAATGATATGGACGTGACCAACATATGGTTCCAGCAGGATAAGATTACGTGTTACACTGCGAACGCTACAATGGATATTCTGCATGAACCAAGATCGTGCGATTTTACTTTTCTAGAATTTTTCTTGTGCGGTTTTTTGAAGACTCAGATCTTTGTCAATAAGCCATAATCGATACCGATGCCCTCAAAATCAACACAACCCAGGCGATCGCTTAAATTCAGCCGGATCTATGCGACATAGTCATTTAAACAGTGGATCTCTTGAATCTAGATATCTCGATATTTTGAATTTCATCTATGAAGAGATTTGACAGTAAGAGATACTCACCCAAAAAAAGAGAATTATGAGTGTTTATGCATGAATCTTTCTACAACCTCAAGGTAGTACTTTAATTTTGATAGCGCATCACAAAATATTATCCATGCTCTAAGATAACTTGTAGGAATATGGTAAAGTGGGATACATTTGTTGACATTCCGTGATATCAATTTAATAGGGATTAGAACTGATTGGTACAACTTTCACTTCAATCTTCATATTAGATGCGTGGGCAAAGAATGTTGGCTTCTGTGTAGTGTTATTCCTAGATATTTGCATATAGATGTGATTAAAGTGGCGGTTGGCTGGATTGGCAATTTTAAAGAAATTAGTTAATTATCTACACATGGAAAGAAGAAACCTTGGTTAGATCAGAAACTTTGACAATTACAAGTTGTGTTCGTCAAGATGGGCATGTTGAAAAAGAACTACAAAAAATAACAAAATTACGCAAAGTTTACTTAAACCTGGCATTGTTGCGTAGCTCTTTTAATGACCTCTTCTAATGGAGTACGTGTTGGTTGGGTTGGGTTGGATTGGGTTGAAGAGGTTGAAAAGTTCGACAAGATACTGTATTGGAAGAAATTGGAACTCACCGAAAGAACCCATTGAAGCTATTTGGTGTAATTAACTAATTGAGTAGGAAATGAGAACTTTTTAGACAGAACTGAGAGGCAGTAAGAACGAAAAATATCTATATATACAGGATGATTTATAACATGCGGAGCAGACTAAAAGGGTAGGTACTAGGGGCCAAATTAAAAATATTTTCTTAATAATGTTTTTACCACAACTTAATAATCACAAAGATATAGAACGTTAAAGTTGAATTAATGGCCGAGCTTTACTTACCATATACAGTATTACATTACGTTTAAATTCAAACTGCGAATATTTTGGAGTTACTTAAACAATGCATAATTAACAAAAATAATAAAATCTTTGTAATATAGCAGTTACGGCTATTTAAAAATGTGTTAAAATGCTTAAAGACTGAAAAATGTTTTTATTGCTGCTAATCCAGTTGATTTGGTTACTTTGCAGCGGACAAGTATTTTAATTATTCATTATTGAATATCAGCGGTTCTCAAAATTGGGCGTTAAATTATTTAAAAAATTAACATGCGATATCTATGTAATTATTAAGTTTTTAACAATACAATATTAACAAAATCTCTTCAGTTTTACCTCTAGTACCTACCCTTTTAGTCTGCTCCGTATGTTATAAATCACCCTGTATAGAGATATATACAGGGTGAGTTTTTTTCCATGTTTAGTATGGAGATCTTGAGAACTAGCGGAGATAGAAAGACGATTAAATAGGGAAAGAATTGCAGTTTCATGAACTCAATTTAATGAGCTTTTTGTTTTTTGGATGAAATGCATGGCTAACTAGATATCTCCAAAAAACCATTTTTTTGTTATATCGTTCGATACCTATGGCTTCGTTTAAAAAATCTATAATTTTAGGAAAAATGTTTAAAGGAGAAATTTGTAAGGTATTATATGTTTAATAAAACAATCTAACTGATTTTTTTATTTAAACAATAATTTTTGAATTATGACACAAACGTGTAATTTTTCTAATGGAAACCATAGTTGGCCATGACCTTATAAAAAATGCCTTTTCTCAACGATTGTAACGATATACCACTTGACACTGATATTTTTATTTATAAATAAATTATAGCCATTTCTTCTTTTAATTTGCAAACTGTTCACGTAGTACGCTATGGAAACAATTGATAGATACGTTTGGTTATGACAGCTTAAGACAAACGGTATCCAAAAAACAAAAAGCTCATTAAGTGAGTTCATGAAACTGCAATTCTTTCCCTATTTAATCGTCTTTCTATCTCCGCTAGTTTTCAAGATCTCTATACTAAACATGGAAAAAACTCACCCTGTATATATATACAGGGTGAGTCAGAAAGGATGGGAAATCCGAATACCGGAGATACTAGACACCAAAATATGATGATTTAACGTAACATCTCTTATACAAATGTCAGTAGTTTCCGAGGCATAGGGTGTTGAAAGTTAAATTCTTATTTCGAAATTTCTTGATAATTTTGAAGGTTTTTGTACTATTAACATAAAATTTGGTAGCTTTATGTTTTCGAGCATAAGAAATTCGAATTTGAAACTTGTTTTGTTATTGCTCGTAGAGGGCGCTAGATACACGCTGCTCGTTTGATAAATCAAATCATAAATTTTTTGGCTCGACAGCTACGACCAATAAGAGCTGCAAATCACAAAGAGCATTCAATTTTACATAAAAAAGATACTCTTATTTAAATTGTCTAAGTCTATCGGTTTTCGAATTATTTACTTTTAAATGTTTAAATGTATTTTTTCTTCTAAAATATTTATTTTTTAACATAAGCAAAGTTGGATTATTTTTCAGCTTATGTTTCGACAATTGCCTGTTAATTGTCAACATTGATCTAATTTCCGTGTGCAATAATCATTTTTACCAACAATAAAGTTGTTACCAATTTGAAAATGCCACGACATAATAAGTTTTTTAATAGTGAGAAATCCAGATTTAAGTCCACTGGATTTTTGAAAATGGTCATAATATTCTATTGTTATTAATTAATTGTTATTGTTATCGATTATTATCGTTACTAATTGCGATAGTTACTGTGTGTTATTGATTTTAAATGTTAACGTTAAAATAACTTTGAAACAATTAAAAGCAGATAACTTGGAAACCAGTAGACTTAGACAATGTAAGCAAGAGTACCTTTTTTGTGCAGAATTGAAAACTCCTTCAGATTTCTGGTTCTAATTCACCATACCTCAACTGACAAAATAGCCATGACTTGATATCTCAAACGTACAGTGTGTATCTAGTGCCCTCTACGAGTAATCACAAAACAAATATCAAATTCCAAATTACCAAATTTTATGTTAATAGTACAAAAACCTTCAAAATTATCAAGAAATTTCGAAATAAAAATTTAACCTTCAACACCCTGTGTATTAAAAACCACCTTTAAACCTTAAAACCCACATTTGTATAAGACATGTTAGGTTAAATCGTCATATTTTGGTGTCTAGTGTCTCCGGTATTCGGATTTCCCATTCTTTCTGACTCACCCTGTATATAGCGATTATACATGTTGCGATTTACAATGACCAATTTGGAACGTATTGAAAGACTTTAAAAGAGTAAAGTTTATAAAAATGAGAATTATTGATACCTACTGGGAGACATTGCTAAGTATTGGAAGCCATTGCTGAGTATTGGGAGCCATTCAGAGTCACTAAGACACTATGGTATGTACAGAAAGGGATTGAGAGGTATTACAGTGGAATATTGGAAGTAATTTCTAACAATGCAGTTTAAAATGCGAGGCATTTAGAAAAGTGTGCCAAAAGATTAATTGTACTCATAACAAACAGAATCGTTTTTGTCACAGAGTTAAGAAGCTTCGAAAATGTTGGTTTGGCAAAAATTCTTCCGAATAAAATTGGGTTGTTTTTGCTTTAGGTCCAGCGAGATACTATTTTCAAAATGAATTCACATTTACAGAATCAAATTTTATTTTTGAAGCAGATATACCTAACACATCATTAACTTGAGGAAAACCGTCAATTTCGAAGATTATGTTATGTGCCAATACAAACGATACTGCAGCATCAAGACGTGTAATCGCCATGCAAAATATGTCCTATGCAATTCACGATGCCAAAGTGAGAGTGCATGAAAGAAAAAGTATTTTTTTGTTATGTTATATACTTCAGTCAGATTTTGGGCATTCCAACGCAGAAAATGTTAAGGCCATTTTTGTACCTTGCAGAACCTTGTATCTGTTGCAAAAGTTGCTTAATGTCCTAAAAATGTGACGTAAATATAAATAACAAATTTGCAATAAGTAATAATATAAAATAGTGTAGGTTTGTTCATTTAAATGTTTGTTTTATGTATTATTATTAAGATAGTTGTAATAATTTAAAGATATTGAAGTAAAAACATTTAAAAATATAAATTTTTCATTAAATACAATTTCCTTTCACTTTCAAAGTAAAGAATACGAAGTAACAGTTTAATAGAATAATAACCGCAGGTTTATAGATATAGTAAAGGTGCAGCCGAGGCAATCGTTTTTCGTTGCAAAAGAAGAATTCCAAATCTGTGCCGCAAAATCGGCGAACGTTTCCTCCTCCTCTACATCAGCCGTTGAAAAGAAAATACGGCCAAGTGTCGCAACGAGAGAAGGAACGAAAGAACGAACGATGTGAAAGGCGTCCCACGAAACCGAGGAAACGAGGAGCCGTTCACCTCTCTTGGAGAGAGGAGAATCAAGAAAGGGAACATCATCTCCGAGAGTCCGGGGAAAAGCGCGTCGAGTTTTGGGTTTTCCACATACCTGTAATTCCGCCTGCGAAACATCGATTTCTCCTTTGTACACGAACTCGATGATAAATTTCAGATCTGCGTAACAGACGTCTTGTGGCATTATGATTGTTGGGTGTTTACAGGGGTTTTCTAATAGGAGCTTTTGAAAATATGCAGAACAAGCTGAAAGAACCACCTAGGAAATAATTAGAGAAAAAAATTAATGACTTGAGAGAATGGAAAAAAATAAATGTGAAAGGATGAAGAAGAAGAAGTAGATGGAAAAACGGTAGAGTGGACTCTTACTTTACCTTATGGGCTTTCAGCGAAAGGTCATTACACGCCAAGGTCACGTCAACGAAGGCCTCATTTTGCAGCAGCTGGTGAAACACGCTCGTCATGTTGCTTTGGTAATTGTTCCATCGTAGGCAATAATGTTGCCCTCCGGACATGATAAAAAGCTGCAAAAAAAATTTTTTAATTATTAAATTTATTTTTTTTGTAATAAAATTTTTTTTGTGATAACAAATTTTATAATAATATTTTTATCGTTGTTTTTGTAACAAAACACAATAAACAAGCATCGATAAATTATATCACCTGCTCTAAAATTATATTTAACTATCTCCAGCGGTGAGCTTTATCATAAAAACCATCGTTTTTTGGGACGCACTCATCAAATAAACTTATCTACAACTATCTACAACTCAAATACTAACTTGGTATTTGATTAAACGGACATTACAGCATCGTTATTGTAATTGTAATCAATATTTACCCCACGCATTTTTTTCCTCGCGTCTATTATCTCAGTATCGTGATCATTTTAAACCTTTTATATATTATTATTAAATTAAAAAAAAGATTGAGTTATTTTTAGATTAATTATCATATCATGTTTTATTTCAATCAAAAAAAATTTAAATACAAGTCATTGGGGAATCTAATAATGCATTCTTGTAGCTTAATTTATGAAAAATGTTAAAACGTAACTCTTAGTACCAAAAAGGAATATTTAAAATCGTTGAAAAACGATATAAAATTACATAACAAGTATTCGTTCTATTTATTTTTGATAAGACGAGACGATATCAAAATCATTTCTCTCTCTATCTTTCATTTCAGCACCTAACACACGCATGTTTTTCTCATCTTGACTTCTCAAGTGAGAAAGATTGGCTTAATCTAAGTAGTAGAAACGTTCTCGGCCTTAATACGCGTTGTTAAGCGTTAACAGTTCGTACTGTTGACCGTTTAGTCTCGGTTATTATTAGACGTAATTAGTAAACGCCGTTTTGAACACGTCCAAGTTGCTACGAAAAAACCGTTCTTCACATTATACATTTAACACATAAAAAGATAAATGATTATTACAATTATTTCTTATATGAATAATTTTTCATTTGATTCAAGTTTTCTTGGTTGTTAAACGAGAGTTGAAAGAAGACACCGTATCGTGTTGAAAAACAACCTCGACGTCGACTTTTATGCAGGTAGAAGAGAAAACACACTGACGTAAAGAAGAAGAAGAAAACAGAGAAGGTCATTGTTCAAACGCGGAACGAGCCCGGGGAAGACGAAGACAAAAGGGGGAAACGGCGTCGACGAAGAAGGAAAACGTTTTGATCTCGGCTTAACTGACGATGGATATCTTCGAGAAGAACGAAAGACCTTTTTCTTTCCATTTTTACTGTATGTTCAATGGGAAAAAGAAACCCTACCTAAAAATTCGTATTTTACTGCGCCAGATGGTGACTCAAGAGGTTTTACTTGCTCACCCTAACGGCCCAAAAAAAGCCTTATAAGTGTAGGAAAAGGTTTTTACATTAAAATGAAAAGATACACTGTATATAAAATGAATTTCACTTAAGATGCAATATACAAAAATATATTTACATAGAAACCAGGTCAATACATGTCTATACAGGGTGTTTCATGTAAAATGACATATGCGAATCGAAAAAAGTTTCAAGTAAACATTTTTTGGTCAGAAGGGGGACACATTGTACACATGAACAGAATTTTTTTCAGGGTTGCCTAAAAGCCCTTCTGACGTCATTTTTATTTTTTCAAATGGCTCATATACTTTTTTCTTTCCAAGTCTTAAACAACTTGACAAACTGATTACTTTTTGCTTAAAATTTTTTTTTCTTAAACTCTCCGTTGTGAAGATAATATTAAACAAAATTAGTCGTTTCATGACGTGTTAAGTACAAAATTTTATCTAATTCCATTGAAAAAGCAATTTTTGTTCAAAACTTGACTTATTCTATTAGTGACAGATGTCAATTTGTAGTTAGTTTATGGAATTCATTACATCACTAGTGATGTAATGAAATCATTACATCACTAGTTATAAAAAAGTGGCGTTACAAAACGTCAGATAGACATGTAAAATTGAATTTTCATAATGGAATTAAATAATAGTTATTTATATTACAAGTGGGCTAGAAACATAATTACTACTGTACGAGTGTGAAGAATTGCACGACGAGGTCGTAGACCGAGTCGTGTAATCACACGAGTACTGTAATTATGCTCTAGCCCACGTGTGATATACAGCATTTTATCTACGACTGGTAAAAATGACTAAAAAATCAATTTCTTTAAAAAAGTCTATTTGACATTTCTAAAAATATTTTGAAATGATTGTTGACAATTTTGAATTGTCAGTCTCAACAACATGTTTACTCATCTGGAATAAGTATTACGAAATGTAAAAACATAACAATTAATGTTAATATAATAAATAGTATTGTTTCTCTGTAAGTAGATAGCACTTTTTCTTTTGTATTGTTGCTCGTTTCAATAAATTAAGTCTGTTCTGATTAGGCTAAAAATGCGTTACGTAATAAAACCAGTGCGGTAATGAACTACATTACGTAACTCAAATCACCTCAAATGAGTGCGATAATGACGACTTATCCAAGCAGTCGTAGATAAAATAATATTAAAATTCTTCTTAACTTTTGAAATCGTCTTAGAAAGTTGAATAAAAAAAATTTTTTTTAATGTTTATAAATCGAGTAAACCCTGTTCTAAACCTTATTTGGATGTGGGATAAAAATTGCAAGCGAAAAAATCATTGTGATCAAAGCAAAAATGGAGCACTTCTCTACTCCACAGAAAATTCAGATGGTGTAAGCTTACGGTGAAAATTTCGCTGAGGCCCATCGCATTAATGTTCGAAAATTTCCTGGAGAAAGAGCGCCTTGTCCTAAAACTTTATATCGAATAGTTACAAAATTTCTGGAATGTGGTAACGTGGAGGAAAAAAAACAAGATCAGTTTCGAATGAACAGAATCAAATAGCTGTTTTAGCAGCTGTAGATGTTAATCCTCATGCAAGTTGCCGTCAATTGTCAAAAGATTCAGACATTTCGTTAATGAGTGTACATCGGATTTTGAAACTTAATAAGTTTCATCCGTATTATGTACTAACAATTACATGAGATGATTTCGAAAATCGTGTGCAATTTTGTACTTGCGCTATGGAAAAATTAAGATTGAATGAAAATTTTTTCTTCATTTTCCGATGAATCCTCTTTCACCAATCACGGCCAAGTAAATCGTTATAACATGCACTACTGGTCACATGAAAATCCTCGTTGGCTAAGACAAGTTGATCATCAAAAACCTTGGTCAATTAATGTCTGGTGCGACATTGTTGGCAATAAAATAATTGGACTTTTTTTGATTGATGGCAATTTGAATGGCAGAAAATATCGGAATTTTTTGTTGAACGATTTACCGGTTTTGTTGGAAGACCTTACTCTGGAGCGAAGACTTGCGCTATGGTATCAGTTTGATGGATGTCCATCTCATTATGCTCTAGCCGCAAGAGAACTTTTAGACGAAATGTAGAACGAAAAATGGATAGGACGTAATGGAGCGGTGAATTGGACTGCTAGATCACCCGACTTAACTTCTCCCGATTTCTTTCTTTGGGGTTACCTCAAAGAGACAGTTTACAACCAGGTTCCAACAACACCAAACGATATGAAAAACCGAATCAATAACTGAAGAAATGCTTGGCAATGTGCAGAGAACGTTTTCAATGAGAATTCAGAAATGTTTAGAAGTGAATGGCCATCATTTTGAGAATTTAATCGATGTATAAAGGTAACTTTATGAATTTTAATCAATGTTCTAAGATAATTTCAAAAATGAAGAAGAATTTTAGTACTATTTTACGATTAATTAAATCGTTTTTTTATTAATTAAATTTTTTTAATTACATTTTGAAAAATGTTGTTTTATTTTTCTTTTTGTAGATATCTTCATAACGCAGAATTTAAGAAAAAAAATTTTTAAGCAAAAAATACTTAGTTTGTCAAGTTGTTCAAGACGTTGAAAGAAAAAAGTATATGTGCGATTTAAAAAAATTAAAATGACGCCAGAAGGGCCTTTAGGCAACCCTGAAAAAAAATCTGCTCATGTGTACCCTGTGCCCCCCTTTTCACCAAAAAAAGTTTACTTGAAACTTTTTTCGATTCGAGTTTTGGTTTTCGAGACATAAGCATATGTCATTTTAAATGAAACACCCTGTATAATTCGACATTACAGTAAACCTCGATAATATAACGGGTCATCAATACGGGGAACGCAGTGTCCGTTATAGCTCAATAAAAATATACAATAATCTAGCGCTGAATAACAAATAAAACTAGACTAACACTAGCACTAGAACTAACGCTAGACTTAGAACTAGGAACATTCCATTTAGCCGTACTTCTCTTAAGACGGCTGGTAAGTACTGCTAGTTAACATAAAATACCACTATGTTCCATATTTTTATTGAACTAAAACTAGAACTAACACTATACCTAGAACTAGAATCATTTGGGTTTAGTTGCACGTCTCTAAAGACGGCTAATCAATAAAGCCGTCTTTAGAGACGTGCAACTAAACCCAAATGATTCTAGTTCTAGGTCTAGTGTTAGTTCTACATAGTCACAGCGGTAGTGTAAAACTAGAACTAACACTAGACCTAGAACTAGAAAAATTCGGGTTCAGGTCTGAAGACGCACGGCTAAATCCGAAACTTTCTAGTTTTAGGTCTAGTGTTAGTTCTAGTTTTAATTATTATTCAGCTTTCGATTGTTGTATATTTTTATTGAAGTAGTTGAAAAATTAAATATACATATTAGAAAAGTACGTATATTAGATTATACCTACATATATAAATATAGAAATTATGTTTTTAATTAATAATTTAAAAAAATACATCTTAATCAATATAGTTAAAAGATTCATTTAGAATCATCATCTAATTTAGCAACACCCTTAAGGTTCATATTCAACCATAATTTTGCCCAACACTTTCCTCAATACAACTCTGATTTTCATCAACTTTATCATTAATCTGGGTACATCAGTTTACACCTTTATAAAAACCTTCTACATCAATTCCTAAACCTTAATTTCAGATTACTCTGAGCCAAGTCCAAAAGGGAATGGC